CAAGTGCAAGGCATGCTCCAAGGTCCACGGGAGGAGGCCGGGGAGGAAGTGTCGGGGGCGCCCAATGAGGGGTGTGACGGCTAGGGTCAGGAGGGGAAAAAACACACAGGCACAATTGATCGTCGATCCCCCCGAAAATATGGGAAGATTGGGAAGTGGGGTGGGAAGACGAACCCCCCCCCCAAAAAAAAGTAAACTATGGAACCCCTCTCTTGGACGCCTCCCTCATTGGACGTCCCCGATTATCGCGGCCCCCGTGCGGTTTCGCTATCGAGAGACCATTGCGCCAATCTGTCGGCGATGCTTCCCCCCAGAGCCGGTCCCCCCCCCACCATCGTTCACCCTGGCAGCAGTCGGAGGTTCACAGACCCCGCCTTGCCAAGTCGGTTGGCGAATTGCCTTCGTTCGGTCCTCGGGAGGGCGTTTCGGCCGCAGTCTGTGCGGGCCTACGCCCGCTGGGGTTGGTCCCAGGCAGTCTGTTCGTTCAGGTGGGGGTTGCTGAAGCGGGCTGTGCCCACCCTCGAAGCAGAGGATCTTTCCGTCATCCCCGAGTTTTCTCTGTCTCTCTCTCTCTCTCTGTCGCTTTCTCTGCGCAGGCGACTTCGTGCCCCCGATTCCCGAATCCCTTCCCTCCCAGAAACGTGGGGAAAGCGAAACTCAGGGACGTACCCCAGGGATGTCTTACATTACGTCTCCTACGCTCAGTGCCGTTCGACTTTTTCCTTACCCTATGGTGCTTCGCGGCATCCATCCCCCCTCGACAGAAAAGGCTGGTGGCGTTGAAGAGCCCTGGCTGCCTGGGGATGGGGATCGGTCTGGCGATTCTGAACCGCTGCTCGCCCTTTCTCTCTATCACTCTCTTTCTCTCTCTCGCACTCTCTCTCTCTGTCTCTCTCGCACTCTGTCTCTCTCTCTCTCTGTCTGTCTGTCGGTCTGTCTCTCTCTCTCTCTCTCTCTCTCTCTTCTCTCTCTCTCTCTCTTTCCCTCTCCCTCTCTCTCTATATATGTATAGATGCATTCGCCCCTGCTTATGGCGTGGAGCTAGGTACGCGCGGGCGCACATTTAAGCATTTGCGGCAGCAGGGATACAGCAATTCGTCCACGTTGCCTCGTCCCCGGGCGTTCCGCAGCTGGTCTCGCTTCCGCATGAGCACCCAGCGGGTGCGCAGGCGCAGGTTGACGGGCCTGTCTTCCACCACCACCACCACAAGCCGGAGGGGGGGAAGAGGACGAGGAGGAGGACGAGGAGGAGGAAGAAGAAGAGGAGGAGGAGGAGGAGGACGACGAGGAGGAGGAGGAGGAGGAGGAGGGGGGAGGAGGGAGGAGGGAGGACGAGGAGGAGAAGGAGGCGGAGGAGGAGGATGAGGAGGAGGAGGAGGAGGAGGAGGAGGAGGAGGAGGAGGAGGAGGAGGGAGGAGGGAGGAGGAGGAGGAGGAGGAGGTGGTGGAAAGCAGGCCCGGCACAGGCAGCTCGCCCGCGGGGCCGCGCGATCGAGCGCCCGCCGCGCCGCCCGTGCGCGAGGGGCCCGCCCTCCCCCGGCCGGGCGGCGGGCGCTGGGCACGACGCCCGAGCCGGGGGGTGCCCGCGCGTCGTGCCCGAGGGCCCGCGGTGGGCTTTTGGTTTGTGTCTCGGGCCGGACGAAAAGGGGGGGATTGGGAAAGGGGGGGGTACGAAATCTGCTGCATGCAGTTGGTTTCGGCCTCGCCGAGGGGCCCACTCCTCGATACGTAGCCGCCTCCGGCGCCGGGAGGCGCCGGGGAAATCAGCTACGTGAGCTGATTCTCAAACCCCCCTTTTGCTATCCCGCCCTTTCGCCCGACCCGAATGTCGGGCGTGTCCCCTACAGGGGTATTTTCGACGAGAAATAACAAAACCCAAACATAGACAACAAATAATCCAAAAATAGTCTGGGTACTATTTTTGGAGTATTTTTTTGACCTTTTGGGGGTATGTTTGGGGTATTTTTGTGATTTTCGTCGACAATCCCCCTGTAGGGAAACACGCCCGACATAAGCTTTGGTCGTCGCGGCTGCGCTGCGCTGCTGCAGGGAGGCAGTGCGGCTGCGTTGCTGCGCTGGCTGTGTGCACAGGCGTGCACACGTCCTCGTGCATTCACCTGCGTCTGCAATGCATATGCGCGCAACTATTCATTGTGTATATATATATGTATTTGTGTGTATATATATATATGCACATATGTGTGTGAAGTACAGCTGTGCCACTCTGTTGGAGGGAGTCGCTGGAGTCGGGACCTCCAGCGGGTCGTCGTCGTGACGCGCAGTGGGCAGCTGTGCCACTCTCTTGGAGGGAGTCGCTGGAGTCGGGACCTCCAGCGACTCGTCATCGTGACGCACAGTGGAAAACGAGCACGCTGCGCTGGCGCTCTGGGAGGTGTGCGGCCGAGCTGCATCCCTGGACATCAAAGGTTGTGCCTTTCTCCAGCTACGGTTCCTGGAGTTCCCGAACCCTTCTTTGTTGGGGACAGTTTCTCATCTCGGATCGTTGCTCGAGCCCACAAAGGGCCAAGCGGTGGCCCGAAATGGTAACAATGTTTTTGTTGTTTGTTCCAGGCGTTGGATGTCTGGGTGAAGAGATATCGCGTCGTTCTGCCTGCGGTTTGAGTCCAAACCCCCGACGTCATCACGCTCTCTTTCGCGACGTGGACCCCTGGTGGTTTCGACCCGTTCCGCGGCACCGGCTTTTCAGCCAGAATCGTTTTGTTGACAGTCTTGGGGCCCAGAGAAGGCCCCCCAAGGCCGAAAACAGCCAATGACCTCCCGTCGTGCTTTTCGCGACGCGAGGGAATTCTGGACTGCGGTTTTCCGGCCCCGTGCCAGGGGCAGTTCGTCGGGGTCTTTGGCGCCACGGCGTGCGACGAGCAGTGTTCGCCGGGCACTTACGCGGAGTTCGCGGGCTCGGCATCGTGCGAGAACTGCACGGCGGGGAGGTATTCGGGCCAGACGAAAGGGGGGATTGGGAAAGGGGGGGGGTACGAAATTTGCTGCTGCATGCAGCTGGTTTCGGCCCCACCGAGGGGCCCATTCCTCGATACACAGCCGCCTCTGGCGCCGGGAGGCGCCGGGAAAATCAGCTACGTGAGCTGATTTTCAAACCCCCCCTTTGCTATCCCCCCCTGTCGCCCGGCCCGAAGGTATGCCGAGGGCGTCGGCTCGACGGCGTGCGAGGCGTGCCTTCCCGGCAGCTTCGGCGGGGCGGAGGTCGGGGCGGTGCCAATCCTCCGAGGAGGGAGAGGTACGGATACCGTGAGATAACCTCTGGCGGCTCCCCCTAACCCCTTAGGGGGGTGAAAATGAGCGCCTCGCTCGAGACATCCTCCAAATCTGCTCCGGAAGCGAAGGATGTTGGGAAAAAACAGGCAAACCGCTCGAGACATCCCCACAAAACGGCCGCGAACGGGACCGTGAGAAACCCCAGGCGGCTCCCCTTAGGGAGAGGTACGGTTATGTCGGGCTTGTCCCCCTACAGAGGGATTTTCAATGAAAAATGGTAAATGCCCCCAAAATACCCCAAACAGGTCAAAACAATACTAAAACAAATATAGTCCCCATACAATGTTTGGACTATTTTCGGATTATTTTTGGGAGTATTTTTTATTTCTCGTCGAAAATCCCCCTGTAGGGGGACAGGCCCGCCGACTTAAAGGTACGGATACCGCCTCCCTTGCCTCACTTCCGCTTGTTTGGGGTTCCCTGGGATGCCCTCGTCGCCACCACGCCATCGTTGGCTTCGTCGTCGGAGCCCTGGGCAGACTGTCTCCCAGGAGAGGTCCGGGGAGCAGCGGTGCTGGTACCTGTTTTTGTCCCCTGAAACAACGTAGCGAAGTAGTCCAAGTAAGACTTTTCGTCTTATTCTACCTGCCGGGCCATTTCAGGCCCCAGGTCGGTTAGAAAATGCTCCAAGGCGAGATTATGGTGCCTATCAATTATTCCAGACACCCATGGATTCCGTTTACAAGAGCCAAGACAATAACGTTAGATGTATGGAATTGTCCATTCAAATCAGAGTAGGAGCGAGTCATGATGATTCATGATGCGCTTCAAGGTTTCCAAGTTCCCCCACCTGTCCCGCGCAAACAGACACGAATGGCCGAACACGAATGGCCGCGCCAGAAGCTCGAACTCCTGGAACGCATCCTGAGCCAATCACATCATGATTTTTGTTTGTCAGGAGGAGAAAAAACACACAGACACAATGAATCGTCGATTCCCCGAAAAATATGGGAAAACATGGGAAGTGGGGGGGAAGACAAAAACCCAGAGCATGTTAGAAAATATATGGGGATCCTGTTATTTGTGTGTGTGTATTTATGTGTGTGTGTGTATGTGTGTGTGTCCCAGGGCCCCTTCACTATCAACACGCACATCGGCACTGGCCCAGCCGTAGTCGACGCACGAAGGTCGGGCGTCCCCAGAGGCCTCCAGAGGCAGGGGTCTCCACACGCGGAGCCCCCGGCGCGCGGGAGGCCGCCGGAGGCCCGGAGGAGGGCGAGGAGGACGGAGGAGGATCGAATGAGGCCCAGAGGAGGACGAGGAGGACGAGGAGGACAGAGGAGGACGAGGAGGACGAGGAGGACAGAGGAGGATTCTCGCGCCAGGGAGGGGGTCACGGCGTCGGACCTCCGAAGTCCTATGCTTGTGTGGCTGTTTCCCCTCCAGGGCAGTTCGGGTGCCACTCCCGGGAGGTTCAGTTCGGCATCCGCCCCGTGACATCCGTGGTCGGCAGCCGGCCCGATCCAGTAGAATCCGGCCAATCCGGGCTCAATCACATGCAATCCGTTTCCTGGTGGGCTTGTAATCTAGTGTAATGGCTTTGCAATACAGCGTAGTCGCCTTAATCGTTCTCGCGAAGACCTCCCAGAATATGCCTCCGAACAGGGGGAGGCTCGGAGGAGGAGGAGGAGTGGGAGGGACGGTTGTTGCCCCCCAGACGAGGGTTGGTCTTCCTGCTCCAAGTGCCCGAGCGGCTCGTTCTCCGACAAGATGCTGGCGACGGAGTGCACGCTGTGCCAGCTCGGGCGCTCCGCGGGCGAGGTGGGCGCCGTGTCGTGCGAGATCTGTGAGGCTTGGGTGCCCCTGAATCAACCAATGACGAAGTGTCCAGGCTCGCCTAGAGGCCTACCAACTAATAGTCTAAGATCCTTCTGTTGTTTGCACGACATGTTCTTAGAACATTTCTGGCTGTGTCTGTCTTGTTTTAACACTTCGGGCTTACGCTCTAAGAACCTTGCTTTCGTTATTAGAATATTCTTAGGATCTAAGACCATGTCGTGGTAGGCATATAGGAATGCCGGGACGGTCGGTCCCTGCTCAACTGAAGTCAGGGACAAAACCAATGGGATTAGGCTCCAGTTGGAACGTATGGATCCCCTCTCACATAGGTGCCCGATGACCCACCACGCACAGGAACCTGTGGTTTCGGTATCGAGGGCCTATCGCCGATCGGTCGGTCGATCGGCGATGTATCACCGACTCCAGCTCCATACTTCCCCCACCGAGCCGGGAGAAGAAGGATGATGATGATGATGTTGATGCTGATGTTGATGCTGATGCTGCTGCTGCTGCTGCTGATGATGATGATGATGAAACATTTTGTCTTCGAGCTTCGCGGGGGATCTCAACGGATCGCCGTTGCTTCGGCTGATCCACCTCTCCTCCTGTTCCCCTTTCCCTCCCCTCCCCCTCCCTCCCTCTTGGAGGGGGCGAACTGGGCCATCCAGGGGGTGGATGAACAAGTGGGCCGTTCATCGGGTGGATGGAAGCGCGGTGGTGCGAGAAATCACAGCTGGGATTGCGGATGGCTCGGCCGTCCACTTTCACCTCGTCCCTCAACCATCTTTGCTGGAATCAGCTCCTGCCAGCTAGACAGCCCTGGGCCCTCTCGACTGTCTCCACTTCTCTTGCGTATTTAATGGTCCCACTGGCTTTCGATCTCTTCTCCCTTCATGTTTTCTCAGTGTCCTCCACACCTGTACTGCTGCCCTTCTAGACGCGGTGCACTCGCCTCGACGTTGGGTTGTCAAAAAAAGGGGGAGGAGGAGGGGAGGAGGAGGAGAAGGAGGAGAAGGAGGAGGAGGGAGAGGTGATAATGGGATGAATGAGGGAGGAGGAGGAAAAGGAGGTTCATAAGGATGAGCATGGAGGACGATGAGGGAGGAGGGCGGGAGCAGGATTGCGGAGGATGATGGAGGAGGAAGGAGGGGGGGCGGAAGGATGAGGACATGTGAGGAGGAGGAGGAGGAGGAGGAGGACGACGACGACGCGGGGCGAAAAGGGAGAAAAGGGACGACGAGGTGCGGGGCGAGAGGGCAGGAATGCTGGCGGGAGGGAGGGATGGAGGGAGGCATGGGAGCAGGAGAAGGGGAGGGAGAGGCGGGGTGGTTTGGGATCGGTGCAAGGGCGCCCTGGGTCGCGGGAGCCAAGGCGGCCAGGCGCGCGAGTACCCTTCCCCCGAGGCGCGGAACGCCTTTCCGAGGGAGCTCTGGGAAGGGGTTCCATGAGCCGGGTGGATGGCCCACTTGGGGCCTCGGAGCATCAGCCGGACGGATGGCCCACTTGGGGCCCTGGACCAGTGCAGGGGTACTGGGTGCCCCGGTGTGATGTTCCATGAGCCGGGTGGATGGCCCACTTGGGGCCTGGGGGCGGCGAGGGGGTTGCGCGCAGGGCGTGCGAGGGTCGGGGGCGTGCATGAGCCGGATGGATGGCCCACTTGGGGCCTCGGGGGGGGCGGCCTCCAGGAGCCGGGTGGATGGCCCACTTGGGGCCTCGGAGCATCAGCCGGACGGATGGCCCACTTGGGGCCTGCATTCGGCCTCCGCGGAACAGCGTTCGGGAAGGGCTGCGCGCCTTCCCGGAACAGCGTTCGGGAAGGGCTGGCGGCGGAGGGAATGGGGAGGGGTGGGAGCGGGAGAGCACGAGGTTGGAAGAAAGGGGCAAATGGAGGGAGGGAAGGGGAAGGGGACGGGGGAAGGCGAAATAGGACAGGGGAGCTGGGGGAAGGGAGGGGGAGGGGGGGGGGAGGGATGAGGGAGGCAGAGTGCGAGAGAAAATGGGCGCGGTTGGCAGATGTAAGTAGCGGGCTAGCATCAGTGAGGCGCTGAACGACACTGGTGTGGGACGCGGGGCGACGACGACGACGACGACGACGACGACGACGACGCGGGGCGAAAAGGGGAGTGAAGGGAGAAAAGGGGAGGTGGCGGCGGAGGGGGCAAGGGGCTGCGCGGTGGGCGGAGGCAGGGGGAGGGCCAGCACGGGAGCGTGCACGGGGCAGACCAGGCGAAGTGGCCACTTCGGCGCCACAGAAAGGGCGCGGCGGTCGACGGGCACACCTAGGACGAGAAGGAGAGAGGGTGGCAGAACAGCAATTCCAAGGCTGCCCCTCGCAGACAATTTGGCTTCACTCGTGCGGCCTGATCCCGCTTCGAGGTGTCTCCATGTCGACGCGGTAGCGGGCCGTGGGCCGAGGCGACCGAACTGCTCCGAACGCTGGGCGGAAAGGCGTTCCAGAAATCTTGGAACGCCTCCCCGAAAGCCGTTCCATGCACCCTTTCGACGGCCCACCTTCTGGATGGCCCTGTTCGCCCCGCCTAACCCTCCCGTCCTCCCGTCCCACTCCTCCCGCCTCTTCCCACGTCTCGTCCCACTCCATGCCTCGTCTCACTCCTCCTGCCTCGTCCTACTCCTCCTGCCTCGTCCTCCCTTTTGCCTCGCCCCCCCTCTCTCCTTCCTCCCTTCGCCTCTCCTTTCCTCCCCCCCCTCCTCCTGTGGCCTCCCTCTCTCTCTCTCTCTCTCCCTCCCGCTTGTGCCCCCCCTCCCTCCCTCCCTCCCTCCCTCCTTCCTCTCTTCTCTCCTCCCCCTCCTCCCTCCTCCTCACCCTCCTCATCCTCCTCCCTCCCTCGCTCCCTCTTCCCCCTCCTCCCGCCCTCCTCTCTTCCCCCCCCCCTCCCTTCGAGCGACTGGCCGCCGCCGCCCGTGCAGGCGGGGTCCTACAGTGCGCACCTTGGACAGTCGTCTTGCCTGGCGTGCCCCAGCGGAACGTTCTCGGGGCAGGAGGCGCCGCCCCCCCTCCTCCCCCCAGGGTCGCCGCCGCCGTCGTGGAGGGAGAAGGGAGGAGGAGGACAAAGAGGAGGAGGAGGAGGAGGAGGAGGAGGCGGAGGAGGGAGGAGGAGGAGGAGGAGGAGGGAGGAGGAGGAGGAGGGAGGAGGCGGAGGAGGGAGGAGGCGGAGGAGGGAGGAGGAGGAGGGAGGAGGAGGAGGAGGAGGCGGAGGCGGAGGAGGTGGAGGAGGCGGAGGAGGAGGAGGAGGTTCGAGGGTCCCGGTTTTGGTTGGGCGGCCCGGGGCGTTCTCGGGCTCCGCCGCCACTGTTGTGGCCTTCTCGGCTGGGGCGCCCTGGTCGCTGACTCGAGCAGTGGCGGCTCGCCTATAAGGCCCACCAAATAATGTTCTAAGATTCTCTATGGTCTGCAGGACATGTTCTTAGAACCTTTCTGGCTGATGTTGTCTTGCCTTCGCACATCGGGTTTATGCTCTAAGATCACTGTTCTTGTAGTAAGAACACTTCTGGGTTCTACGAACATATCGTGGTAGACCTATAGGAATACCGGGACGGTCGGTCCCCGCTCAACTGTCCCAGTCCTCCAGCGGACTGTTTGTTTGTTTCTTATGTCGCGGCGATTGTCTGAGTTTCGGTATGCGGGAGCTGGTTTTTGAGCTCTGGGGTCTGCGTACGCGATCCCACGATAAACAAAACATAGTTAAACATTGTGATCGTCGTCTTACTCATTGTCTTGCCAATCGGCGCGGGCCGTCGCGCCCCCCCTCCCCCCGCCTCGGAGTAGATATTGGCTTTTGTTTGGCGCATGTTTCGAGCCGGTGGAGGCTCCCCCACAGGACGCACTGCTGCACACAGTCGCGTCAGGCAGAGGTCCGGAGGCAGCCATCTCCTCTCCCCCCCCTGTCGGCCCAGTGTCCAAGCGCCGAAAAAAACAAACGTTCATCTTCAAATGGTCCGTCATACATGTTTCGGGACCTCGCAAACGAGGGGGGCACAGGGGGGGGGGGAGTTCGGTCCGTTGGCGCATCGAACCGCAGAAAGACGATGCAAAACGAAGTCTCCGGCCGCCGGAACCCGAGATGCGTCGACATTCGGGGCGAGCCGGGGGCATCGTTTTTCGGAAATTCGATGCACCAGCGGATCGACATCCCCCCCCACCCTCAGGGTCCCCCGCCTTTTGGCGGGCCCCGAAAGTTCTGACCTGGAGCGTCCCCTCGTTGCCCCGCTTGTGCTGGAGGGCAGGACTGTCGGTGAGCCGCGCGCCGAGACGTTCTCGACATTCGGCGGCTGTCTGGCCCGTTTCGCTTTGGACCTTTTCGCAAGGCTGTGCTCCGAGACGATCGGGTCTGCGTTGGTCCGGCCGGCTCGCTTGGCCCACGCGGCTCGGAGCACCCAGCTGCGGCGCGAGAGGTGGTCTGGCCCAGGTTGTCTGAACAACAGCAACAACAACAACAACAACAATAACAATATCAACAACAACAGCACAGATCCGCGCCCGGACAGCGCATCGGCAAGAATCGGGCCGAACGAAAGGGGAGGATAGGGAAAGGGGGTTTACGAAATCTGCTGCACCTAGCTGGTTTCGGCCCCGCCGCCGGGCCCATTCCTCTACACATGGGCGCCTCCCGGCGCCGGGAGGCGCTGGGAAAATCAGCCACGTGAGCTGATTCTCTACCCTTCCTTGTGCTATCCCCCCCTTTCGTTCCCCCCGAAAGAGGACTGGCTACGTGAAACACACGTGCATTAGAACGGGATTCGTGCACACCCGCCCCTGCAGGGCCTCGGAAGCGCACGCGGGCATTCTCGCAGTCTCTGGCGCAGGAGGTGCAGCGACCCGAGGTGGTCGGGCCCGTTTTGCCCAAGACATCCTCGCAGTTCTGGGCTCAGACACACTGGGAGTAAGTCGGGCGTGTGTCTCTACAGGGGGAATAGTCAAACAATAGTCTGGGGACGATTTGTTGGTATGTGTTGCGATTTGTGAGTTCCCTTTGAGTGCTGTACATTCTTCGTCCGAAATCCGCCTGTAGGGGGATACGCCTGGGAGGCATTGCGACAGATGGATGGCGCATTCTGCAAGGACAAACGCACGTTCTCCCCAGAGTCGCGGGATATCTCGGCAAGAACATGTGTTTTTTCCTACCAGTTCTGTTGGCGAATGTACTGCTGCGGTAACGACCGGAGGGCCGTGCGTCAAGATATCCTCAATGCTTGATGCTGCGCGTAACCCTGCCAGCCCATCCAGAGACGATGCCTAGAGGAGTCGCCTCGATCAGGGAAGTGGGCAGCACACAGAGGAAGGGTTCCTCCTGGAGCGCTTTGGAGCGCTGACGGTCCCGGGCGCCTCTTCGAGCGTTTTGGGTGCCTCGGGGAGCCTCTTAGGGCCTGTTGGGGGTGTCTTGGGAGTCTCTTGGGGGCATCTTGGGGCCTCCTTGGCGCCTCTTCGGGCCCTCCTGGGGCGCTCTTGGAAGCCTTCCGCGCCTTTGGAGCCGTCTTGGAGGAGATCGATCAAGCAAGCGGGGGTACTGAATTAGCCCTGCCCTTGTAGAGTGCCTAAATTCGTCCCTTGGACCCCTCTTGGAGTGCTCTTGGGCGATCTTTGGGCCATCTTGTGGCTCTCCTAGGCCTCTCTTAGAGCCCTCATGGGCCCTCTTGGAGCCATCTTGAGACCTCAGAAGGCCATCGAAAGCAAACAGGCGAGAAGGCCAAATTCATTCGTTTCCCTCCGGTTCTTGAAGGATTCTGGCATGGCGGCCTTCTGGGGCCGTCTTGGAGCGGTCTTGGGGCCTCGAGGAGCATCTTGGGAGCCATCTGGAGCCATCTCAGGCTATCTTGAGCCATCTTGGAAGTCATCTGGGGCTCTCTCAGGCCCGTTTGGAGCCATCTTGGGCCAGCTTGGACGCTCCAACGCCTCACGAAACCTGCCCTCCAGGTCCAAGGGAGGGGTTCAGCTACCCACCCGCCCGCAAGCTGTCTAGCTCATTTCCACCCGCTCTCCCAACACATAAGTAACACCCCGAGCCTGAGCATGTTCAGCGGTCGTCTTTGGATGGACAGCTACTGGGAACCAAAGCCGACCCGAGGTGCGCGACGCTTGGGCGAGATGCGCCACGCGTGCCAGGCGCCACGCGCGCCAGACACCCCTTGGGCCCGAGCGTGCCAGGCACGCCTGGTGCGCCAGATCTTGGCGTCGGATGTGCCGAAGCAGCCCGTTTCTCCCGAGTCCTCTTTGCATTCCTGGGCGCTTGGATCTGTTGCGCGTGGTCTCGCGAGTAGCCCGTGAGGAGGAGGACGAGGAAGATGGGAGGAGGAGGGTGAGGATGCGGGGCTTACCCTCTGAGACCACCAGCTTCTGCCAAGCAGTGACCGATTCAACGTTGGTCTCTTGGCCGAGAGCGTGGCCGCCGCGGACGACGTCCCGTCGCTGGGGGAGTAGGAGGATGAGGAGAGTGTGAAAGGCTGATCGTGTTCAGTCGGGTACGTCCCTGTACAGCTGTACAGGAGGACTATTCAAGAGTAGTCGAAGAAAACTCTGGGGACGGTTGTCCGACTATTTTTTGTTATGTTTGAACATCGTGTGACTATGGTTTGCTTTCTTTATTTTTCTGCCTGTAGGAGGACATGCCCGACATTACATCAAATTCTGACACGCAACGGCCGATCCAACGTTGGTCTCTTGGCCGAGACCGCGGCCGTCGCAGGCGACCTCCCATCGCTGGGGAGTAGGAGGATGAGGGGAGTGTCAAAGGCTGCTCGTGTCTCTAGGCCTCCTAGATGGGGTCGGACCACATGGGGTCGGAGGATCGCGCCGCATCGCCGATGCATCGACGATGCGGCTCGATGCGAGCCCGATTTTCTCAGCGCCGATGCATCGCCGATGTGTCAACGATGTGGCGCGATCCCCCGACCCCATCCACTCCAACAACATCTAGGAGGCCTCTAGTCAAAGGCCAGATTCTCATAAGTCTGACCTGCATGGGTAGTGTTCAGATATGGCTGCATGAGGAGGAGGAGGAGGAGGAGGAGGAGGAGGACCTCGCTAATCCATGTTTGCGCGTCCCCAGTTCTCTCCTCGGCATAATTTGCACGACCAGCGCCGCTTGGGCCTGCCAGTCGAGCCCCGCTCTGCCGAGGAGCGGCCGTGCATCCGCCTGCCCGCCCGGGACCGTGCGGTGTCTCCGTCGTGGGTCTACAGTTGCGTCGGGCGTGTCCCTTCTCCTTCTCCATCTGCTTCTCCCGCCTCCCTGCCATGCCATAGCATACGTACCATACTACACCATACCTACCAAACCATTTCTACCAATACCATACCAATTCCATACCTACCACATGCCGTACCTATCATACCATACCATACCAACACCATGCCTACCACACCATGCCAACCATACCACGCCACCGACCATACTAGACCACACCTACAATGACAAAGCTACCATACCATACCTACCACTTCAGAGAAGCCACGCCGGAGTGAGGACAGTATCGGGATACCATACCATGTACAAGGTTTCGTGCCCCCCCATCCCTTCAGGGAGGCCCCGCCTGAGCGAGGATGGTATTCGAGTATCATGTTATGGATTAGGTGTCGTGCCCCTCCCACTCCTTCAGGGAGGCCCCGCCTGAGCGAGGAGGGTATTCGAAAACCTCGTTATATTAGGTTTCGTGCCCCTCCCACTCCTTCAGGGAGGCCCCGCCTCAGCGAGGAGGGTGTTCGAAGACCATGCCCCTCCAATTCCTCCAGGGAGGTCCCGCATGAGCGAAGGAGGGCACTCGAAAACCATGTTATTTATGAGATGTCGTGCCCCTCCCACTCCTCCAGGGAGACCCCGCCTTAGCGAGGAGGGCATTCGAAAACAATGTTATGTATAAGGTTTCGTGCCCCGTCCCCTCCTCCAAGGAGGCCACGCCAGAACGAGGAGGGCATTCGAAAATCGAAAACTATGTTATTGATCGGGTTTCGTACCGCTCCCACTTCTCCAAGGAGGCCCCGCCTGAGCGAGGAGGGTATTCGAAAACTATGTTATTTATCGGGTGGTATAGTGTCCCTCCCGATCCTCCACGGAAGCCCAGCCTGAGCGAGGAGGGTATTCGAGAACCATGCTATTTGTCAGGTTTCGTGCTCCTCCCATTCCTCCAGGGGGGCCCCGCCTGAGCGACGAGGGTATTCGAACAACATATTATGTATTAGGTGTCGTCCAAAACTTCAGGGAGGCCCCGCCTGAGCGAGGAGGGGATTCGAACACACATGGTATGTATCCATGTTTTGTGCCCCCGACACTCCTCCAGGTAGGCACCGCCTGAGCGAGGAGGGTATTCGAAAACCTTGTTATGTGTCAGGTTTCGTGCCCCTCCCACTCCTCCAGGGAGGCCCCGCCTGAGCGAGGAGGGTATTCGAAACACATGTTATTTATCGTGGTTCGTGCCCCTCCCACTCCTCCAGGGAGGCCCCGCCTGAGCGAGGATGATATTCGAAAACAGTTTCACTCATCAGGCTTCGTGCCCCTGAGCGAGGAGGGTATTCGACAGTCATGTTGTTTATCAGGTTTCGTGCCCCTCCCACTCCTCCAGGGAGGCCCCGCCTGAGCGAGGAGGGTATTCGAACATTATCCTTTGTTTTTATGTTGTGCCCCCCCCACCGAAACGACGGCCGCTAGGATAACGGGGCAGTTTCGCAAGAGTCTTGTATGCCATTCGACAGCGTCGCTCTCGCTGTGTCCCTCTATCCATCCGCCCCGTACATCCGCGCTGTTCCTACACCTTCTATCTATCTATCCATCCCTCGCTCTTCCTACACCTTCTGCGCCCCCCCCCTGTACATCCGCGCCCCCATCATTGCAGATATGGAAAATTTGGAACGCCGTTCGCAGAATGGTGTTCTCCAACATCCACTTGTAGGAGGACATGCCAAAACCTAAGCCTGGCATCCTCCTGCCCGCCCAGGGCCGTGCGGTCTCGCCACCGTGGGTCTATCGCCGATCTATCGGCGACGCATCACCGACTCGATCAAGCTCTACGTTTCGAGGCTTCCTGGATGGGGTCCGATTTTGATGGGGTCGGAGGATCGCGCCGTATCGCCGATGCGTCGGCGATGCGGCTCGATGTGGAGCCCGATTATCCCCACGCCGACGTCGCCGATGTGTCGCCGACGTGTCGCCGACGTCGCCGATGCATCGCCGATACATCGGCGATGCATTGACGATGCTGTGCGAGCCTTCGACCACATTTGCTCAGACCCCATCTATCAGGCTCCTAATGATTCGCCCCCTTGAGCAGGGTCCATTCCGATCCGATCGATCCAATTCGGTGTCGACCCCAGCCGGCCCGATCAGTCTCGATTCCTATAACTGTTTGACGATCCGATCCGATCCGGCCCGATGCTTGTACGCCGCTGTTGAGCACCTTGCCGCCGCCGATGCTATTCGATTTCGACTACGTGCCGAAGCGGCCCGAGCCGACGCACATTTCGAGTTGATCCTACTTCCAGATCCGACGCTGATTGTGCCTGCCCCTGCAGTGGAGACCCATGCCAAGAAACACCCTGCTTGCCTCCAGGGTGCCTTGGGTTGCTTGGGTTTCGATGGTTTTGCTGTGGAAGGCGCGATGCTCCCGCATCAGAAATCAACGGACGTCCCGGGGTCTCAGGGTTGGTCAGAAGCAGGGCAAGGGCTGCTAAATCCGAAGCTGCTAAAATCGACCTCCCCGAAGTTGTCTTCGTCCTTCCGGGAAGAAGCCCGTAGACTGTTTCGCGTACCGCGCCTCATTCCGGGAAGTTGTTTTTTCCTTCCGGGAGGGCCGTTTTAGTAGCCCACGGTTTTAGCAGCCCTCGCCCAGCTTTCGAGTTGGGTCTACTTGTTGGAGGCTTCTTGTGGACTGGCCTCCGCTGCATCGTTCCCCCCTCGCCCCCCTCTCCCGCCCCGGAGGCGTCGGTGGCCTGCTTCGACTGCGATGCGGGGCGCTGGTCTCACGCCGCGGCCACGGCGTGCGAGGACTGCGACGTGGGGAAGTTTGCGGACCGCCGCAGCCCGCCGCCGTCGTTGTCGCCGTGGTCGTGGGCGTTCTCGTCGTCTGCGTCGGCGTCGACGCCGTGGCCGTCGGAGGGGGGGGAGAAGGATCTAGCGGGATCTAGCGGGCGAACCTCCGGGGAGTCGAGGAACAATCCACAGCCGCGATGAGGTGGCATTACCTACCACCAGGCCGTCCCTGGGCAAGAGGAGGAGGAGGAGGAGGAGGAGGAGGAGGAGGAGGAGGAGGAGGAGGAGGAGTAGGAGTAGGATGAGTGGGAGGAGGAGGAGGAGGAGAAGGAGGAGAGTAGGAGGAGGAGGAGGAGAGAGAGATGGGAGGCGGGGAAGGGGTGTGAGGGAGGGGGAGGGGGAGAGGAGGAGGAAGAGGTGGATGTGGAGGCAGAGGGAGGGAGGGGGAAGGGGGGGAGGATGGGGAGGCCGGAGAGGAGGACGAGGAGGAGGAGGAGGAGGAGCAGGAGGAGGATGAGCACGAGGAGCAGGAGGAGGAGGAGCAGGAGGAGGGGGAGAAGAAGGAGGGAGGAGGGAGGAGGGAGTGGAGGAGGTGGGAGGCTGAGGAGGACTCGTCTTGAACAAATGAAGACGGATATCATGTGCAGTTGTTCGTCCTTCTTCGGGGGGGGGGTCCAGGCCTTGGGACCGTCCGAAACATCGGGGCACCCGCCTCGAAGGAGATCCCCCTCCGCCAGCAGGGTCCTCGAGGCCTCCTTCTGCGACTGGGGTGACCTGACGCCTCTGTGCACTCTCTGCAGACTGCCTCTTGGGGCCCTTGGCCTTTGGTGACCGACTCCTCGTCCCCATCCTCGTCCTCGTCCTCCTCGTCCTCGTCCTCCTCGTCCTCGTCCTCCTCGTCCTCCTCGTCCTCCTCGTCCTCGTCCTCCTCGTCCTCCTCGTCCTCCTCATGACTGCTCATCCTCGCCCTCATGATCCCATCCTCCTGGGCCTCCGCAGCAGGAGGTGTGCCTGCGGGGCCGCAGGCATCGCTGGCACCAGCGGTACCAGCGTTGAGTCGGGCCTGCCCGTCTACAGAGGGGGAAGGTTCAAAGATGGTAAAACGATGGTCTGGGGACGATGTGTGGACCATGTGTGATCTTCTTCTGTTTTTTTTGAGTATATCTTATTTTAGGGACAGGCCCGACTTACGACTAGCGTCAACTCCGCTGTCCACGGCCCCGTCCCGCCATCTTCCGCGCAGTCGCTCCGGCGATCCCTGCGCAGCCCTCCTTGAGCCGTGAGCCCCAGGAGGCTCCCCTGCTTGGTAGGTGCGGGGCGACTTTTGATCGGTCGCTTTGCCACGGGGGCCCGCGTGGGGTCGCGTCTCCGCCAACATCGCTTCTCCCTAAATGCTTCATCGTGGACCTTGCCACGCCCATGTACCATCGAGTGCCACAAGTTTCCCCTCTCCACGTGCCGCATCCGCGAAGCGTCGGAGGGCCCTCGTGGCTTGCCTGATGCACGGCTGGGCCGTGAGTCTCGACCTGCCCTTGAGGGTCGCTCCACGGGGCCGTGGGACGGGAATGCGCTGTTTCCCCGCAAGGGCAGCGTTGTCCCAGACTGGTCCAGGTGGGTCGTGCTCCCCACTTGGGTCGGGGAAGCGTACGACTCGAGTAAGCTGGAACTCGGGTTTGCCGAAAGTTTTTGACGAGCGCGTCCTGGATTTTGACGGTCCGGTGTTCGTGGGACGTCGGCAGCGAGAGTTCGCGTCAGGTTTCAGATTTGGTCGCATCATTTTTATGATGGCCCCGTCGAGCTAGCCCGAGTCCCCCGTGCCCGAGTCCTACATACATCTCCCCGAGTGGGTTGCTTTCAGGGGCATCGGGCTGGCGTGGCTGCCCTCGGTATCGTTTAACCAATCCCCATCTCCATCGCCATCCCCTTCGAGACCCCCACCAAATTACCACCCCAGTTGGGGATACACCCCTCGAATCCCAAAGGTCACGACCTACACTGGGTGGGGGAGACGCATGCGGACTTTGCCACTGGGGCCTTCGGTGGAGCTCCCTATGGCACCCTATGGGCCACGAAACGTTGTGCCGGTTGGGGGAGACGCATGCGGACTTTGCCACTGGGGCCGTCGGTGGAGCTCCCCATGGGCCTCGAAACGTTGTTCTTGGTGGGGGGGACGCATGCGACTTTGCCACTAGGGCCTTCGGTGGAGCGTCCCATGGGACACAACACGTTGTTCTGGGTGGGGGGGAACCATGCTGACTTTGCCACTGGGGCCTCCGGTGGAGCTCCCTATGGGCCACGACACGTTGTGCTGGGTGGGGGAAACGCATGTGGACTTTGCCACTGGGGCCTTCTCTGGACCTCTCCATGGGGCCACGAATCGGTGGGTCTTCCTAATTATGGGGCCACGACACGCTGTACTGTGTGTGCGGGACGCATGCGGGCGGTGCCACTGGGACCTTCGGTGGGGACCCCCACGGGGCCACGAAACGCTGTAATGGGTTTGCGGGACGCACGCGGGCGGTCCCACTGGGACTTCCGGTGGGGTTCCCTATGGGGCCACGAAGCGCTGTACTGGGTGGTGCGTGACTCATGCGGGCGGTGGCACACTGGGGCCGTCGGTGGAGCTCCGTTTGGCGCCACGAAGCGCTGTAGTGGGTGGGGGCGACGCATGCGGACGGTCCGACTGGGACGTTCGGTGGGGCTCCATATGGGGCCACGGATGTGCGTGACGCATGCGGGCGGTCCCATTGAGGCCGTCGGCGGGGCTTCCTATGGCGCCACGAAGCGCTGTGCTGGGCGGTGCGTGACGCATGCGGGTGGTGCTGCTGGGGCCATCTGTGGAGCTCCCTATGGGCCACGAAACGCGGAACTGGGTGGTCCGTGACGCATGCGGGCGGTCCCACTATGTCTCCCACTATGACTTTCGGTGGGGCTCCCTATGGGGCCACGAAGCGCTGTACTGGGTGGTGCGTGGCGCATGCGGGCTGTGGCACTGGGGCCTTCGGTGGAGCTCCGTTTGGGGCCACGAAGCGCTGTACTGGGTGGTGCGTGACGCATGCGGGCGGTGGCACTGGGGCCGTCGGTTGAGCTCCTCATGGAGCCACGAAAAGCTGTACTGGGTGGTGCGTGACGCGTGCGGGCGGTCCGACTGGGACTTTCGGTGGGGCTCCCTATGGGGCCACGAAGCGCTGTACTGGGTGGTGCGTGACGTTAGCGAGTGGTCCCACTGGGGCTTCCGGTGGAGCTCCCTGTGGGGCCACGAAACGCTGTATTGGGTGGTGCGTGACGCATGCGGGCGGTCCCACTGGGACCTTCGGTGAAGCTCCTTATGGGGCCACGAAGCGCTGTACTTTGTGGTGCGAAACGCATGCGGACGGTCCCATTGGGGCCTTCGGTGGAGCTCCGTTTGGGGCCACGAAGCGCTGTATTGGGTGGTGCGTGACGCATGCGGGCGATCCCATTGGGGCCGTCGGTGGGGCCCCCTATGGGGCCACGAAACGCTGTACTGGGTGGTGCGTGACGCGTGCGGGCGGTTCCACTGGGATCTTCGGTGGGGCTCCCTATGGGGCCGCGAAACGCTGTACTGGGTGGTGCGTGACGCACGCGGGCGGTCCCTTTGGGGCCCTCCAGTGGAGCTCCTTATGGAGCCACGAAACGTGTGAGGGGTGTGCTGAAACGGGTGATGATGATGAAACGCAGGGAGGAGGGAGGAGGGGTAGGAGGGAAAAAGGGAGGAGGAGACGCGGGGCGCTGTCTCTTCAAAACGAGGACCCAACACCACAGGATGGCTGGGGAAACAAACAGGCACAATTAATCGTCGGATCCCAGGAAAGTATGGAAACTATGGGGAGTGGGGGGGAAGACGAAAACCAAGAACATGTAGAAACATATGGGGATCCTGGGATTTGTGTCTATTTACTTTTGTGTCCCAGGGCCCCTTTTCTCTTGCGGATTCCCGCAGCCCGCCCACGGCCGCAGAGCAGTAAAAAGCAAACACCCGGATGAAGCAGAGATCTTCGGGGCCCGGGGCATGCCCTTGGTCCCAGGGCCCGTTTCCGCCAATGCCCCTTTTCTTTCCCTCGTGCCAGTCGTCCTTGTGCATTATTGCGAAGGAAGGCCTTACGGCCGTTGCCGCCGACCCTGAGAGCGACGAAGGTGAAAACGAGGGGAGGCCAGGGTGGAGGAGATGGATGAGAGAGGGGGTGAGGGGGGAGAAGGATGTGGAGGAGAAGCAACAGGAGGAGAAGGAGGCAGAGGAGAGCAGGAGGAGGGGGAGCAGAGGGGGAGGAGGAGGAGGAGGAGGAGGAGGAGGAGGAGGAGGAGGAGGAGGAGGAGGAGGAGGAAGGAGGAGAGGAGGAGGAGGACCAGAGGCTTTCTTGGGACAGCCTGTGGCTCTCTTGAGGCCGTCTTGGGCCGTCCAGGGCTCCTCTTGCGCCGTTCGAGGCACTCTTGGAGGCCTCCTGGGCAATTTGGGGCTCTCCTGGGCTGTCTTGGGGCAGTTTGGGGTCCCCTTGGGAGCTCTCTTGGAGGCCTCTTGGGGCTGGGCAATTTGGGGCTCTTCTGGGCTGTCTTGGGGCAGTTTGGGGTCCCCTTGGGAGCCTCTTGGGGCCTCTTGGGGCTTCTCGGGGCCTCTTGGGGGCCTCTGGGCCTGAGAGCTCGAAATGTCAATTCGGGTCCCCGTCTGGGGACTCTCCTGGAGCCGTCTTGGGGGCCTCTTGGGCCGTCTTGGAGGCGTCTTGGGCCGTCTTGGGGCCCTCTTCGGCCGTTAGGGGATCCGCTTGGGGGCCTCTTGGGCCGTTTCGGGGCGATCTTGGGGGCCTCTTGGGCCGTCTTGGCGCGTCGGGAAGCGGAAGAGGCAAGAACGCCACAATTTTTCAAAGACGTATCGGAAATCCGTGAATTTTGCCTCTTGGGGTTCTCGTGAGAAAGCTCCTGGAGGCCTCTTATGGGCGTTTTGCAGGCCTCTTGGGCCGTCTGGAGGCCGTCAAGGCGTCTTGGACAGATCGTTCGGCGATTCGGGGTTCTTTTGGACTGTCTTTCTGTCTTTGGGGCCTCTTGGGGCACTCTTGGCCCGTCTTGGGGCTTTTTTGGGCTCCGGGACTCGCAGGGGGGGCATCGTATCTGACCTTCCTCCAAAAGGGGCGTCTGTCCCCCCCCCAGGGACCCTTCCGCCCCCCCCCCCCCCGGCGGGGGAGGGATCGAAGGGAAGGGGCTTCACTTTGGCTCAATTTCGACGTTGCTTATTTTCGCTTTGGCTGGCGCGCTGAGGAGGTCCCTGGGAAAGGGGGGAGCTTCGACGAGCCCAGGGAAAGGGGGGAGGCAGTGAAAGGTGACGACAGAGACGCCGACCAACGAATGACGGAGATGACGACCTGAACGGACAAGCCCCTCACACACGCCGACAGGGTCGGCGGATTTATCTTCCTCATTTTTCTCCTGCTCCTTCTCTTCCTTCTCCTCCTCCTCCTCCTCCTCCTCCTTCTCCATGTTTTCCTCCTCCTCCTCCTCCTCCTCCTCCTTTTTCTTCTCCTCCTCCTCCTCCTCCTTTCTCTCCTGTTCCTCCTCCTCCTCCTCCTTCTCCTCCCGTTCCGCCCCCATTCCTTCTCATGTCCGTCCTCGCCTCAGCCCTCTCCGATCCTCTCCGTCTCCTCCTTCCGGCCCCTGCCTCTGACTCCCTACCTCGAGCCCCTCCTCCCCCCCCCTCCGCCTCTCAGGAGAGCTTGGGCCAGTCGGAGTGCGCCTCGTGTTACGAGGTGTTCGGCAAAGGCGCCCCGAGCCTCCTCACCCCCCTCCCATTCCTCCATATGATCTGTTTGTTTTATGCATTGTTCTGCCGATCGGCGCGGGCCTTTGCATCCCCCTCCCCGTGGAGTAGATCTTGGCTGTTTTTGGCGCCTGCTTCGAGCAGGTGCAGCCTCCCTCATAATGGACGCACTGCTGAAAACGGCCGCACTAAGCAGAGGTCCGGAGCCAGACCCCCCCCCTCCCCCCCCTTCCGCCCAATGTCGAAACGCCGAACGAAAAAAACTCACCATTTTCTCCTTAATATCATCTTCCTCCATCTCCTCGTCGCCCTCCATGTTCCAGTCTCAGCTTTAGTCGGCAGTTCTGACCCACGTGATTGCAGCCCCGGAGTGCAGGCGTAATGATGAACTGCCGAGCATTCTCTGTGGACTGAACATTCAGCGCCAGAAGAACGAGTCTCACTCATATAATCAGGGCGCCGCGCTGGACGTTCACCCCATCCTTACCCATTTACCCTCGTTGTCGTCGTTCTCCTTCACATCCTCTTTCTCAAGGCATCCTACATTGAGCCACACAAGATGGGGTCGGAGGATCGCGCCGCATCACCCATGCGGCGCGATCCCGTGTCCGATACTCTCAGTCATGGCGTCTCGGGTGCACCGACAATGCGGCGCGATCTTCTTGCCCAAATTGTGTTGGCCTTATTTGTTCGGGGGTGGACAGAACCCCGTTTAGCAAAACTTGGTTTAGTGAAAACAACCTCGGGCCCACACCTGGCGGGTGCAAGCCTGGAAAATGACGGCCGCGGCGCCCCCTCGACAACCGAAAACGGACAGTTCACTAATCGACGTGTCATGGTGGGGGTTTTGTCCACCCCCGACTTGTGAGCCCTCCACTTTCGCATCCTCCAGAGGCACACCGAACCAGGGGCTGTGGGTAACTCTGGACTGGGTCGAGGTGCGGGGCCAGTACGAGTGGGTGCACGTGGACGGCGCCACGGGCCGCGGCCAGTGCGGCTGTGACCTCGGCTCGTGGCTGAACCCCGCAGGCGACTGGCGGACATGGAGGAGAGGAGGGGTCATGGCGCCAACATCGCAGAGCGGATTTCGTTCGGAAAATGATACAGTCAACCCGGATGGTATCAAGAGCATAAAAAACGCCCCTACCCTGGTTCACGAGGCGCTGTGCGCTGAAATTCCTGTTGGCTGACAGGGTAAGCCCTGCGTGATGTGCCGCGTCCTGGCGGCTCTGGGCTTTGGGGGGTCCCAGGAGGTTTACAGACCACGCACTTGTAACCCATGGTAGGGTCTTTTTTTTTTTTTCATCCCTAAGTGGTAAGTATGAGCAACTTTCCAAGGTTACCCTTGCATCCTTGACCCTTCGGCCCAGCCTTGGCCGCTTTCGCTGGCCGCTTCCCGCCCGCAAAATGTCGACGTGGCCTTCCAAGGCCCTTACATCCTTACTGCGCGTCCTTACTAAACGGGTTGACTGTGGATGGGCCCAGAGTGTCCTGGAGAGTTTCGTTCCGGATTCCGAGGTGAATTTCGCGCGGATTTTTGTTATTTTGCCAGGAGACAAAAAATGTCCACGCGAGATGCGTTTCGTTTTTCACTCGCCGCTTCGGCTAACAATCCACGCAGAAATCCACGCAAAGGTCCGCAGCAGCACGTCTGCAGGGTCGGTGCAGTGAGATGGGATGATGAGAAGAGAGGACTGGGATCGGGCGGGTGCACAGGGCTCGTTTCGATTCCTCCGATTCGATTCGATCTCGATGGTTTCCGATTCTCACCCCCCTTCCTCGCCCTCGTCCTCCTCCTCCTCCTCGCCCTCGTCCTCCTCCTCCTCCTCCTCCCCCTCCTCTTCCTCCCCCTCCTCCCCCTCCTCCTCCTCATCCTCCTCCTTCTCCTCCTCCTCCTCGATTCTTCTACGGATTTCGATTTGGGCATCGATTCCTCACTGGCGGCTAGACTGCCGATTTCCGCCGATGCGACTTCTCCCGACTCGGCCGCCGATGCGCGCCGATCCGATCCATTTCGATCGCCGTTCCGGTTTGGCGATTCGATCCTGGGCTCTCCCGGGTGCAGATGAGGCACTGATCAAGTAAGGAAGACCACCCGGACCAGACGGCCCCGGGCGTTAATTCAACAGCCTTGCCCTATTCGATTTCTTTGGGCGCGTTTACTAAAGGCCTCGCGTGTGGGGTTGGTTATTATCGGGGTGGATTTTCTGCCCTCTATTTGAGGCATCGGCCCCCAAGTACAGGAGAGGGCTTCTGGGTCAAAATCTGTGGTGATCGGGGCCTCCTCTCCTCTTGGCCCCACGCCTCAGGGCCGCATCCTCAAGTCGGGCGCGTCCATCTGCAGGAGAAACAATTCAAAAACATGTATAAAGCCCAACAAATGGGGACGACCTTTTTAAACTATATTTGACTATGTTAGGGGGGCATTGCTGGACTATTTTAATATTTTTCATCCAAAATCCGCCTGCTGGGGACATGCCCGACCTATGCTGGGGGCCCATGCCAAGAAACGCCCCTGCCTGCCTTCAGAGTGCCCTGGGTTTCTTAGGTTTCGACGGCTTCTCTGTGGAAAGCGTGACGTTCCCACACCAAAAATCAGTGGACGTCCTGGGGCCTCAGGGCTTTCCTACAACTCGCCGTGTCGTTTTCGTTCGATGACGCATCCACGGATCGGAAACGTAGGAACGCGTGGTTCGCGATGTCCTACAGTCAACCAGCACGGTAAGGATGGGCAACCTTCCCAAGGGTACCCTTGCATCCTTGCCTCCTCGGTCCATCCTTCGCCACTCTCGTCGGCCGCGCCCCGTTCGAAGGGCTTCGAAATGGGCGTCCAGGGCCCTTGCATCCTTCCCGCGCATCCTTACTAACTACACGGGTTGACTGTACCTGCCACGTGGATCCACGGTCTGGTTTTGGGCAGGGCGCCATGGGCCTCGCGGGGCGCTCTCGGGCATAGCTGGAGCCCTCTTGAAGCGCTTCCAGCCCCAAGAGGAGGGAGGAGGGAGAAGGGAGGAGGGAGGAGGGAGGAGGAGAGGGAGGAGGGAGGAGGGAGGAGGAGGAGGAGGAGGAGGGGAAAGGAGGAGGGAGGAGGGAAAGGGAGGAGGAGGAGGGAGGAGGGAGGAGGGAGGAGGGAGGAGGGAGGAGGGGAGGGAGGAGGAGGAGGAGGGAGGAGGGAGAGGGAGGGGAGGAGGGAGGAGGGAGGGAGGGAGGGAGGAGGAGGGGGAGGAGGGAGGGAGGGAGGAGGAGGGAGAAGTGAGGAGGAGGAGGAGGAGGAGGAGGTTGACTGTGCAGCTCGGTCTCCAGCGTCTCCGTCGAGCGACACTGCCAGGAGAGCGCCTGGCCCCGGGGAGGACGCCGGCCGCGCTGGGCGGGGCCGCCCTCGGGGGCCGCGGGGCACGGCTCGCCAGTCGGAGGCCCCCTCCTGCTCCTCCTGCAGCGGGGCCGAGGCACCTCCTCCTCGTCCTCCTCCTCCTCCTCCCCCTCCTTCCTCCTCCGCCCCCTCCTCCTCCTCCTCCTCCTCCTCCTCCTCCTCCTCCTCCCTCCTCCTACTCCTCCTCCTCCTCCTCCTCCACTCCTCCTCCTCCTGCCGCCGCTCGCCGCGCCTCCTCCTCCTCTTTCCTCCTCCTCCCTCCTCCTCCTCCTCCTCCTCCTCCTCCTCCTCCTCCTCCTCCTCCCCTCCTCCTCCTCCTCCTCCTCCTCCTGCTCCCTCCCTGCGCCAGCCCCCTCCTCCCCCAAGCCCCCCCTCCTCCTCCTCCTCCTTCTCCTCCTCGCCCTTCCTGCTCACCTCCTGACCTCCCTGCCTCCTCCTGCAGCGGGGCCGAGGTCGGCGGCACGCCCTCGGTCCCGCTGCAGGAGGAGGATTCAAACACATCTGTTCAAGAAGCAGCGCGGGGGCTGTTCGTCAGAGGGGGATAAAAGATGCCCATGCCCTACCTTTCGGCCGTTTTCCCCTTTTGGGGCCTCCTCGGAGGATCTCGTCGCCACCGCTGGATTCGCCTCGAAGTTCTCGTCAGAGCGCACCCATGGCGAGGCCCGGGGAATAGCAGTATCGGTACCTATTGTTTTCTCCAATTTGTCTGACTATGCTCCATTATTGTTTGAATGTGTCTTTGAGTGCTCTGGATTGTTCGCCCAAGGTCCGCCTGTAGGAGGGCATGCCCGACCCAACGCTACTCGGGTACCCCGTCTCCGCCTCTGAAACGCGGTGCGCGGACGACGAGGCTGCTCAGGTCGGGAAAAGGTAGTGGGCGGCGAAGTCTCAAGGGAGGAGAAACCACCCGGACCGGACAATTTGCGTTCACTAAAAGGCTTTGGACGTTTCATGAACAGCCCTGCCCTGTTCGATTCCTTTAGTGGGGGCGTTTACTAAACGGCTGCGCGTGTCGGGGTGGCTACTATGGGGGTGGATGTTTTGCCCTCTAAAGTCGGGAGTGGACTCGGAGCCGAGGGTGCGGATCTCTTTCGCGACACTCTTGCAAAAGCGCGCGCCCCCCGCGCAAGCGCGCACCTTCGGCCACCGCGGCCGGCGCTGCGAGCACCGGTTGCGGCGGGGGGACGGGCGGGCCCCGCAGCTGCAACTAGAGAGCCACGTGGCTGTTCGGAAGCCGGGCAAGGGCTGCTAAATCCGTGGCTGCTAAAATCGACTTCCGGGAAGTTGCCTTCGTCCTTCTGGGAAGACGCCCGTTGATTGTTTCGCGTGCCGCGCCTCATTCCGGGAAGTTGTTTTTTCCTTCCAGGAGGGCCGTTTTATAGCAGCCACGGTTTTAGCAGCCCTCGCCCGGCTTTCGAGCTGTGCGGGCCTGTGGCGGGCCCACGCGCGGTCTTCCTGGGCGGTCTTGTGCGAAGTCGGGCCTGTCCCTCTACAGCAGGAGTGTTCGAAGATAGTCCAAAAGATAGTCTCGGGACGATGTTTTGCTTATTCTTGGGTATGTTTGGAGTATGTCTTGACCATGTTTTATGTTCTCGTCCAAAGTCCGCCTGTAGGGGGACACGCCCGACCTAAAACTAGAGCCACATGGCTGCGGGCCTGTGGCGGGCACATGCGTGGTCTGCAGAAACGGACCCCAGCTCCCGGATGATCCTTCGTTGCGAAGCAGGGGAGGGGGAGGATCGGGGGCCCCCAAACGGGGGTGGTGACCACACCGTGTTGCGAGTCGGTGGGGATTCGGGGTCACCGCACGGTTTTGGGGCTCGGGTCGTTCTCCGAGGACGTCTCGGGCGACTGGGGCATCCGGGGTCCGAATACCGTGCGGCACCGCGCGGTGAGGTCTTGGGGGATTTTTTCGAGGTCACCGCACGGTCTGCCACCGCACCGCTTCGGGACTCCCAAAGCGGAGGGCAGGAGACGGGCGCGCCCGACGCCCCAGGCGGCTGTGAGGTCTGCACGAGGGGCATGGCGTGCCCGGGCATGGGCATCGTCCGGAACGTCCCCGGTTATCTCAGGCGCCTGCGGCGTGCCACCGCCGCCTTCTGCCCCGGTCGTGACATAGTGCGGCCACGCCAGTGCACTGCGCAGCCCCCCCCCATGTGTGGGAAACCACACGCGGAATACGGGAGAGGGCCCTCTGGAGTTCAGCCGGGCGCGTCCTGTACGGGAGGAGTATACAAAAACAGCCAAGAAGTCGTCTGGGGACGATTTTTTCCATTGTGTTGGGGCTATGTTTGAATCTATGTTTGATGATGATTGAATTTTCCTCGCGAAAACCCGCCTGTAGTAGAACATGCCCGACCTAACTCTGGAGCCGTCTTCCGGCATCTTCCGGACCTGCCGGGCCTCCTCTGGGGCCTCGCTTGGCCCCTCTCTCTGGACGCTCGAAATCGGTACGGAAAGAATTTGCACAATGCCCAACAGCAGTTCCTATTCACTGTGAACAGGACTCGCTGTCCGCGCCGCCGCGGCCTGTGTCCGTTCGAGACAGGAGGCCGCCTGCCCAACAGCGGCCGCTGTTGGTTTGGGACAACATTTGTTGTTGGGCATTGTGCCCATTCTTTCCGTACCAATTTCGGGCGTCCACAACAGGGCTCCTCACGTCGGCAAAAAGGGAAGTGCGCGGGGGGATCGAGGCTTTCAGGCAGAGGCTCTCCAAAGGGGGCCATCACTGGCCTCTGAATCGCCACCGCGGGCCCAAAAGGTGCACGCTTTCCTTTCCCCGCGCACACTGGAGGCCAGTCCACGAGGAGCATTCCACAAGAGCCCAACCCTGAGACCCCAGGGCGTCACGCTCCCCATGGCATTGTGCCCATTCTTTCCGTGCCCATTTCGGGCGTCCAGACTCTCGGGCCAAGCTGCGGGCTCTCGTAAGGGCCGTCCCGGGGCGTCTGGCCCCTTCTCGGATCGGGGCCTAAGAGACGGGGGTCAGTGCAAACGGGGGTCAGCCAGAGCGCCAGATCCTGCAGGATCCTGCGAAGACCCTCTCTGGCTGACCCGGGTTAGGGAGCCGCTCGTGGCCGCGAGGCGGCCGCGCGTATTGGCTGACCCGGGTTTGCGCAGACCTGCGTTGCAGTTTTTTTTTCCTGCATTGCAGTTTTTGGTTTCCTGCTGACCCGGGTCTGGATTGACCCGGGTCAGAAGATCCCCGATCGGAGGCCATCCCGTGTCACCTCCGGATTCTCTCTGGGTCACGTTTTGTCCCATCGCTCGGCGCGCTGGTCACGTCCCAGTCCTGTCAGCGGTGTATCGCCGAGGTCGGGTCCATGCTCCTCCTCCTCCTCCTCCTCCTCCTGCTGCTCTTCCTCCTGCTCTTCCTGCTCCTCCTTCTCCTCCCCCTCCTCCCCCTCCTCCTCCTCCTCTTCCTCCTGCCCCAGAGATAGTTTCGAGTTCACAGAGAAGTACCGAAACAGTGTCGAACGAGTATCGCCTCACAGGGCCCGACACGTGAACATCCTCAAGTTTCGGTATTTTCTTGATGTTCGAAATTCTTGCTGGTGGTCAAGGCTAAAATGGGTTGGAACATCATAGTTTGGTTTCCATCTGGGCCCTCTTGGAGGCTAACTTGGTTCGTCCAAGGATCCTCTCGGGGCTCTTCTGGGCCGTCTTGGGGGCCTGTGAGTACAGTTGGGCTGACGGAAGCCTGAAGAGGCGAGAACGCAACAATCGTTCAAACACATTGAGGACATCAGTGATAGTTGGCTCTTCAGGCCCTCGCGTGAGCGATTTTAAAGGCCTCTTCCGTCTTGGGCCTTCTTGGGGGTCTCAGAGCCATCCATCCTGGGCCGTCTCGGAAGCTGTCTGGGGCCGCCTTGGCCCTCTTAAGAAAGGGTTTCTTCATGCCGAGAAAAGGCCGGCGCGATTGGCCGAACGGCTTGTGGCTGTCTTGGGAGCTTCTCGGGTCGTTCGGACCTTCATGGGGGCCTCCTGGCGCCGGGACGTCTGGCGCTTCCCGAGACCGACTGGGTGCCCTCTTGGGATCTTGCAGGGCCGTCTTGGGGCGGCTATCTTGGGCTGGCTTGAGGCCCTCTTGGGATCTTTCAGGGCCACTCTTGGGAGCTATTCGGGCCTGCGCGGGCCGTCAGGAGCCCGAAAAGGCGTGAACGCGAAGAGCATTGACCAACCGTAGCTGTGTCAAGCATGTTGGCCTTCTGGACCGACCCCGAGCTCCTGGGGCAGTCCTGGCCCTCTGGCAGGCGTCTTGGAGTGCCTCTGTGACCGTCTTGAGCCGCCTGGGCGGCAACGTTGACCGTCTCGGCGGCGGGGCGGACCGAGCGCCACGTGGAAGCGTTTGCGGGGGCCCGACCTATGCTCCAAGCCTGCACTGCAGGGGTTCGGGGATGGACAGACCCCCCACCCTGACACCGCGATTAGTGAATTGGCCGTTTTCGGTTCGCGAGAGGGCGTCGCGGTCGTCATTTTTGCGGGTCCAGGTCCGTCGGTTTCGGTCCTAGGTCCTAGGCCGTTTTCATTCGGGTGGTCTACGAAAGGGAGGTTTGTCCACCGCCGAGGGATCCTAGCGGAATTTGAAAGATTTGGCGAAAGTGTCCCGCCGATTTGGGTGGCCGGCTGGGTTCCCGGGTTCCCGGATTCTTGGTGATTGGTTCCGGGCCGATTTCGGCGGGCTCCGGGTTCCCGGAATCCCGTTCGATTTCCTTATCGTTATCTTTATCGATCTCATGATCGATCTTATCAAACAATCCATTGATTGGGGTTGTTATTTGGTGTAATTTAGTTCGGCGCGCCAAGCGGATCGAAGACGCCTACGGCGAGTCACCGCCGCCCCCTGCCTTTTTGCAAGCGCCTATGTGGTCGAACGTTGAGGCCAGACCTGCCAAGCTATCGGACCATGTGTTCCCCGAATCGGTTTGGAAAGTCTTCGGGGAACATGTGGGCATCTTGAAGGTCATCTTGGCCGTCTGGAGGCCATTTTGACCCTTTCGGGCCTTCTTGGAGGACGTCTTGGAGGGCTCTTGGGCCGTCTTGGAGGACATCTTGAGCGTTTTGAAGGCCTCCAGGGCCGTCTTGGGGGCCTCTTGGGGCTGTCTTGGGCGATCTTTGGGGGCACTTGAGCCGTCTCGGGCCGTCGGAAGGCAGAAAAAGCAAATGGCACAATCCGTCAAAAACTCTTAGGGAAATCGATGATTTTACCCTATTCGGGCCTTCTGGCCGTCTTGGGCCATCTTAAGGCCATCTTCGGCCGTCTTGGTGGGCTCCTGGCACGTCTGACGCCGTCGGGAGCCGTCTTGGGGGCCTCTCTGGGCCGACGGGCCCTCTTGGGGCGCTTCGGGGCCGTCTTAGAGGCCATCTTGGGCGTCTTGGATGCCTCTTGGCCCGTCTTGGGGCCCTCTTGGGGCCGTCTTGGGGGCCTCTTGGGCCGTCATGGGGCCATCTTGGAGGCCTCTTGGGCGATTTGGGGGCGACCTTGGGGGCCTCTTGGGCCGTTTTGGGCCGTCGGAAAGCTGAAAATCCGCAAATGCCAGAATCCTTCAAAAACCTAAGGAACATCAATGATTTGGCCTCTTCGGGCCTTCCTGGCCTCTTGGGCCGTCTTGCAGGCCTCTTGGGAGCCTCTTTGGCCGTTTTGGGCCATCTTGAGGCCATCTTAGGGCGTCTTGGGTGCACCTTAGGCCGTCTTGGAAGCATCCTGGGGCCATCTTAGCCGTCTTGGAGGCCATCTTGGCTCTTTTGGAGGCGTCTTGGAGGCCATCTTGGACGATCTTGGGGACCGTCTGGAACGGACAAAACCCTTTGCAACCAGGTCCGGGCAAGTTTTCTGCATCCTTCCGGGTGGCCAGCGGGACGGGCCGAAGCCCCAGGGGGAGTTCTTTTGGAAAAAGAACCAAAATCAAAACCCATATAGTTCGGCATGCCAGGCACCCCTGCGATGAATCGACAGGGGGCGGCGGATCTTGTGCCCTCTGGCCAATCCCGCCACCGTGCTTGGCCCGTGGACAATAGACATCTTGAGGTCCTTTTGGAGGCCTTTTGGACGTCTCTCGGGGGTCTCTTGGGCGCTTCTTTGGTGCAGCTTGTGCTCCTCCTGGGCGCCTCTTGGGTGCACCTGTTCTCCCCCCAGAACCCTCTTGGAACTGAGGACACTCCACTTCATGCCTAGCGGCATGGTGGCGGACTTCTCGACCGCAGACGATCCGGGGTCCATTTTCGAGTGCTTCGACGACCGTTCCTTCATGAGGTGCCCGGGGGGCAACCCAGGCGACTGCGGGAGTCACAGGCTGAACACGAGTTTGGCCTGCCTAAAGTGCGAGCCCGGCATGGCGCCAGATGGCAACGGCCAGTGCACCGTGTGCCGCGAGACGTCGCTCCTCATTCCGGTCGGCGCTGCGGTGACGGCCGTTTTCGTATTGATCGCCGCCTACCATTTCATAGCGACCGAGAAGCGCGCCGAGCAGAACAATCTGCGGGTGCTCGCCGTGAGCGTCGCGGGTCAGCTTCTCGCGGTCATGCAGATCTTGGCCGTGTGCGCGACGCTTGCCGTTTCGTGGCCATCGCCCTTCAGTTTTGTCTTGGCCATTGCTAAAGCCTTTGCGTTCGAGGTGGAAATCCTCCGTTTCGCTTGCATCGTTGACCCGTCTCCTGTCTGGGATTACAGTATGAAGATAGTTTTGTTTTTCTTTGTGGTCGCTGCGATGTTCGTAGTTCATTTGGTTTACAGCGCTCTTTGCTATAAGCGCAAAGATTATTCAGCCAACACGGTGTTCGTGGGCACCCTGGGCACAATCGTTATGGCATGCTTCATCATTATATCAATGACGATATTCTCCCCATTCCGTTGCATGGTGCATCCCAACGGGGTCATGACGGTGCAGAGCGTGCCAGAAGTCGTGTGTTACGATTCCGATGAGCATGGCGAGATGATCATGGTTGGTTTCCTCGCTTCGTCCATCCCAGTGGGTTTCCTGGTGATGGTTGCGTGGGCCGTGTGGCAGCTCCCGTACCGGATGGCGAAGGGGAACGCGGAGTTTTTGCAGATGTTTTCTTTTTTGTTTTTTCGTTTTAGGCCTGCAAGCTATTGGTATGTTTTTTTCCTGCTATCGCGCAACTTGGCGGTGGCGTTGGTGCCCCTTGTCCCAAACGTGACGGGCCAGCTGTTCGTCATGTTCGTGATCATGTGCTCTTCCGCCATGGTCTCGGCGGTCGCGATGCCGTGGCGCATTTCCATGGCAAGCATGTTGGACGTCTTTGTTGCCATCGTATTGCTCTTCGTTGTGTACATGGGGGCTTTACTGGCAGACCTCGTCGACAGGATTGTCGTGGCATGGCTCGCCACAATCATGTGCGCCGGCATTGTCGTGTTCTTCCTTTTGATCTTGACTTACGTACTGATTAGGCGGCACCAGTTGCGCCAGCGGAAGACCTTCCAATTTTTTCTGTGCCACCATAAGGTGAGCGCCGGCGCCTTTTGCAGGTTGCTCAAGGTCCACTTGCTCAAAGATCGCCGCACCCGAGGATTTGTCTTCCTTGATGCGGACTACCTCGAAGACCTGAACAAGCTCTTCAGTTATGTGAGCTCTGAGACAGAGACATTGGCGGCACTTTGCACGAAGGAGTTACTCACGAGGCCCTGGTGCGCAGGCGAGCTAACGACAGCACGCTTGACCAGCATCGATGTTGTACTTATAGTATTTCCGTGTTTTGAGTGGCCGACAGAGGACTTCATATCAAATTATCAAGAGTTTGTGCCTGGTGTCAATGGCTTGACTGGATTCGGCATCAGTGTGGACATGGTGCAGAAAACGCTGCGCCTGTTTCACACTAATAATTCCATCGAGTTGCCCGATGTGTTTGACACGACCGTACTCTCAACCACGGCAGACCTACTGTTCCAGCGAAAGCGCAGACGGAAAATGTCCATCAAAAAACAGCGTGACGGAGACGATTCAGCAGGCGAGGTTGTGGGTGTGGCGGCCGGGAGGATGTCAGGCGCGAGCCTGACTGATGTTCAACACGCAGCTTATCTCATATTGGTTGATTACAAGAGAAACGACGCAATATGCACAGGTTTGATCGTCAAGGAGCTGCTGACGAAGGAGTGCGAAGGCTTCTCCGAGCGCATTCCGCAGCTGCTCCCACGCTCCTCTCAGGTGCCCGCTGTCGGCAAAGTTCTCATGATCGTCTGTACCACGGACTGTCTCCGGAATCCGATGGTCGCCAAGGCCATCATGCAATCTGCAGAGCTTGGGCTCGGCATACTGCCCATCATCGGCGAGAGCGGCTTCCAGTTTCCGACGCAGGCCCTGTTTGACGACATGCGCGCGAAGGAGAAGGAGGTGCTGTCTGGAGTCTCCATGTTCGGACATTTTGGCTACGCCTTCTATGTCGATTGCATCAAGTTCATCTTCAGCGTTATCGGCGTGAACTTGATCCCTCAGGATCAAGGGAGGAAAACCACCCAGACAGGACATTTGGCGAGGGGGGTTACTAAACAGCCCTGCCCTGTTTGATTCCTTCTTTGGGTGCGTTGACTAAACGGCTTCGCGTGTCGGGCTGGTTATTATCGGGGTGGATTTTCTGCCCTCCACAGGAGGGCGAGAGCCAGATCAATATGCAGATAAAGACGATCTGTGCGCGCATGCTGGGCGACACGCAGGTCTTCAGGACCCTGGAGATGGAAGTCCAGGGGTCGACCAACACTCAGAAGCCGGGCGAAGGCTGGCAAACCCGTGGCTGCTGAAACGGATTTCCGTGAAATCGTTTTTTGTTTCTTTCAGAAAGCAGCCTGTTTATTATTCAGCGCGATGAGGTTGATTCCGGGAATTTGCTTTTTCCTTCGGGAAAGACCGTTTAGCAGCCACGGATTTGCCAGCCCTCGCCCAGCTTCCAAAACACGCTGTTTTGGCAAGTCAGGGGATCGTTTTCACTTTCACTTCGTTTTCGCTCTGTCTGGGTCCACCGCTGGGCAATTCACGGCTTTGGATGTGTGTTGAACTTTTGTTGTTCGCAGCCAGTCAGGCCGTTTTCAATTCGAAACGCTTCAGAACGACGCCGGTACAAAAATCGAAAGCCGTGTTTCCCCAGACATGTGACGTCTCGATTTTTTCAGGGCGGCGTCCCTGGAAGTCCCGATTCTTTCCCTGGCACCGGTTTTTCGTCCTGAGTCGCTGTTTGACGGCCCTGAGGCCTGGCGAGGGCCCCCCGAGGCCGAAAATTAGCAACACCTCCCGTCCTGATTGTTGTACCGCGATCATATCTGGGTCGGTAGCCCCCATGGGGAGGTCTACTCTCTCGGCCTCGGCCGCGTCGAGGGCAACCTGGGGCTCGAGGAGGGCACGGAGCTCTTCTGCTCCGCGAGTCTGCTCGGCGCCGCGGCGCCCGCCACGGAGGTAGGGCCGCTCGGAGACCACATGCTGGAGTGCCACCTCTTCGGCAGGAGCCGGCAAGGGGGAAAAGAGCCTGCAGATGATGGGCAGATTTCCCCCCACCGCTATCATGTGTGAGACGGGGGAGAGACGAGGGGATGAGGAGGCCCTCCTCCTCCTCCTCCTCCTCCGTTTCCTCCTCCTCTTTCTCCTCCTCCTCCTCATCCTCCTTCTACTCCGTCTCCTCCGTCTCCGCCTCCTCCTCCGCCTCCTCCTCCTCCTCCTCCGTCTCCTCTGTCTCCGTCTCCTCCTCCTCCTCCTCCTCCTCCTCCTCCTCCTCCTCCTCCTCCTCCTCCTCCTCCTCCTCCTCCTCCCCCTCCCCCTCCCCCTCCCTGTCCTACCTGTGGTAGCGGCGGTGGAAGCGCAGATCTTCGGTGCTCCGGGCGGACTCTCGAGGAGATCGGCGCGGGCCCCCCAAGGGGAAAGGCCGAGCGTGGCAGGTCTGCCGCACGGTGTGCGTCCTCGCCCCGTCTCGGGCCCCGAGGGTCCGGTCGGGCATGTCCCCCCGACAGTCGGGCCGACCGAGGGAGGAGGGGGAGCCGCGGGGAAGAAGGGAGGCAGAGCACACCACAAGGGCGAGGCAAGGCACGGAGAGGGGAAGGAGCCAGCCGAGGAGGGAGGCGAGGGAGGCGAGGGAGGAGGAGGAGGAGGAGGCAGAGCGCAGAGGCGGGGGGGAGGCGGGACGGGGGGCCACAGGGCGGCGGAGGGCACGCCAGGTGGGCAGCGCGCGGAGCAGGAGGCCACGGGACAGGACCTCCTACCCTGACACGTCGATGAAGGAATTACCGTTTTCGGTTCGCGAGAGGCCGTCGCGGCCGTCTTTTTTGCGGGCCCAGGTCCGTCGGTTTTTCCCAGGCCGCCTTCACTGAGGGGAGGTTTACTAAGGGAGGTTTGTCCACCGCCGACACAGGCGGATGCTGGGCGAAAACTTTAAGCGCACTCACGAAATACACGTTAAATTGTCAAACATAGCTGACAAATCGTCCCCAGACTACTTTTGGACTATTTTTGAATCTTCCTTTGTAGAGGGACAAACGCGACTTAACCCGAGGTTTGTGGGCCCTGGACACGACAGGGCAGTTTTTTTTACCGGTTCCGTTTTGTTGTTTTTTTACCGGTTCCGTTTTGCCGTTTTTTTACCGGTTCCGCTGCCGTTTTTTGATTGTTTCCAGCTCTGGTTCCAATTCTGCAGCCGTTCTTTTGCCGTTTCCGGTCGCCGTTTTTATGCCTTTTGCATTTACAAGGCAGATTTTTAGGGAAACGGTGAAAAAACGGACCTGCCGTTTCCGGGGCCCACAAAGACCCGAGGGCCATCTCACATCGATTCGGCTCGAGGAGAATGCTCCAGAAACAGGGTCGGGTATAGCCAGGACCCCGGTGAAGGGGAGCCGGTTGGTGATTAGGCCCCGGAGCCCAAAATATGGATTGGAATCAGTAAGCCAGGTCTGCCGTAGTTGGTGCTTTTCGGGTGACGGCAGTTCCAGTTGGTGGATTGGGACGGGAGGGCGTCCCTAGTACAGATCACTAAATCAGGGTCCACTACACCCAGTCCTGCAATCGCCCGATCGGGTAACGAAAGATGACGTAAACATAAAGACTCGGAGTTCCGCGCGGATTTCTCGGATCGTCGCTGGACACCCTCCCTGGCGCGCGGAGCGCGCCTCCGGCGCCGCCAGGGGGGCCCAGCGACGATCCGAGAAATCCGCGCGGAGCTCCGAGTTTGTATGTTTACGTCATTCTTCGTTCCCCTGCTCGCAAAGCGCCTTCTCGCAAACAGCGTGTCTGCATCGATGTGATGTATCGTACATCCCCCATGGCGGATTCAGGCCGTTTGCGAGCACTTACTCTGCGAGTAGTGGAGCGCGCTTGTCCACCTAGGAAAGCCCAGTCTCAAGGGAGGCGGGGGCAAATGCAAACGTGGGTCAGCCAGATCGCCAGCTCTCGCAGGGTGTGCAGGGCCAGGGTCGCAGTGACCCGGGCCTGGGTGCAGGATCCTGCAGGATCCTGCAGGAATCTGCAAGGCTTTAGTCGGGCCTGTTCCTCTACAGGGGGGATATTCAAAAATAGTCCAAAAATAGTCAGGGGACGTTTTTGTTTGTCACTGTTTCTGAATATTCTTACATGTGTTTTCGATATTTTCAATTTTTCGCCCAGGATCCCCCTGTAGGGGGACATGCCCGACTTCATGCAAGGCCTGACTGACCCGGGTCTGGATTGACCTGGGTCAGGAGATCCCCCAAGGCGTCTTCCTACTTCGAGCTTCGAGAGGTGCTCCTTCTGTTCCCTCTTATTCAGGGGCGGGCAGAAAGCCCCCCCCCACCTCTGGAGTAGATATTGGCTGTTTTTTGGCGCCTGATTCGAGCGGGTGGAGTCTCCCCCAGAGACCGCACTCCTGCAAACAGTGGCACTAATCTAGGGCTCATGGATGGGGTCGGAGTAGATGGGGTCGGAGGGTCGCGCCGCATCGCCGATGCATCGCCAGCCGATGCGGTTCGATGTGGGGCCCGATGTGCTTCACGTCGGCGCCGCCGATGCATCCACTCATCGCCCACGTCGACGATGCATCGCCGGTGCATCGCCGATGCATCGTCGATACATCGCCGATACATCGCCGATGCATCGCCGATACATCGCCGATGCATCGCCGACGCATCGGCAATGCGGCGCGATCCCCCGACCCCAGATGCTCCGACCCCATCTAGGAGGCCTCTAACGAAGCAGAGGTCTGGAGCCAGACCCCCCCTCCTTCCGCCCACTGTCGAGACGCCGAACAAGAATCAGGAGGGGAAAAAACCACACCGACACGATGAGTCGACGATCCACAGGAACATAGGGGGAAATTGTGGGAAGTGCAGGGGAAGACAAAAGCCCAGAAAACACGGGAAAAGATGAGGAATCTTCTTAAGCTGTGTGTGTTTAGTTGTGTGTCCTGGGATCGTGGGGGGGAGGACAAAAACCCAGAAAATGTAGGAACATATGAGGATTTGTTTTATTTTGTGTGTATTTAGTTGTGTGTCCTGGGGCCCCTTTGAAGGCAAAACGCTCGCCTGAGTCGGCGGCGGGCCCCGCCCGCGGCCCTCCGGCGCCGCGCCTGGCGCGCCCCGCCGCGCCAGGGGGCGGAGGGCCAGCGCCGAGCTCAGGGCGGGCCTGTCCCTCTGCGGTGGCGTGGCTCCCATCCTCCTCCTCCTCCTCCCCCTCCTCCTCCTCCTCCTCCTCCTCCTCCTCCTCCTCCTCCTCCTCCTCCTCCTCCTCCTCCTCCTCCTCCTCCTCCTCCTCCTCCTCCTCCTCCTCCTCCTCCTCCTCCTCCTCCCCCATTGCAGGAGGGCCACATCCCACAATCCCCCTCCCCCTCCTCCTCCTCCTCCTCCTGCCCAAGAGATGGTTTCGAGCACACAGAGAAGTGTCGAAGCAGTGTCGGACGGGTATCGCATGCCAGGGCCCGACACGCGAAAACCCTCGAGTCTCAGTACGTTCCTGGTGCTCGGAACTATTTCTGGTGATCAAGGCCGAAGTAGGTTGTTGGAACACATCATAACTCTACAGGAGGACTATCCAAAAGCAGTCAAGAAGAAACAGTCTGCGGACGTTTTTTTTATATTATTATTATATCAAAAGACAATGTTGGAGAATATTGCGAGCATGTTTGGTTTATTTTCTGAATTCTGAAGAATATCGTCCAAACTCCGCCTGTAGGAGGGACATGCCCGACCTCAGTCCAGCGCCAATATTAAGTCGGGACTGTCCCTGCAGGAGGCTTATTCAAAAAATAAGCAAGAAATTAGTCTGGGGACGATCTTTTGATGTTTGTTCGGGGCATTTTGGGGGGAATTGTGTAGTATGTTCTCAACATTTGTTGTCCAAAGTCCGCCGGTAGGGGGAAGTGCCCGACCCAACGCCGATCCGGAACGATGCGCGCGGGCCTCCGAGAGCTGCGCGAGCGGGCCTCCGCGAGGTTACGCTCGGCGGCGAGCGAGGGCTATGGTGTTCCAGCCTACTTTTAGCATTGTGTCGGGCCCGTCCTTATACAGGAGGAGCATGCAAACATCATAAAAAACATATTCTGGGGACGATGTGTCTGTCTATTTTGAGGTATGTTTGAATCTTATGTGGGTATTTGTTCTCAACATTGTTCGCCCAAAATCCGCCTATAGGTGGACACGCCCGACCTAAACCTACATAAGCCTCGATCGCAAGAAAAAAATCAGCACCAAGATAATGCCGAACTTCAACGTTTTTCACGCGTCGGGCCTCGGGAGGCGATGCTCGTTCGACACTGTTTCGTGGCTGTTCGGGGTGCTCGAAATTATGTACGGAATGTGGTCTTTCAGTTCGACGGGAGCAACATAAAGCGAGGGGGGGAGCTGAGGAGGAGAAGGCCCTCTCAGAAGGCTCGGAATGCCACCAGCCTTCTGAGAAGTGTTCTGAGTTGTTTAATTGATGCATAGCGACTTCTGCGATATGAGATTTCAGTACCCAGAGGAGGCATAACACATCTTCTCGGCGGCGAGCCAGGGGGAAGTGAGAAGGGGCGGGCCTTCCCAGAAGGTTCGGAAGTCCCACCGCCTTCTGAGAAGTTGTCTGAGCCTTGCCCGAAGACAGAGAGAACTTCTCAGAAGGCGCGAGGGCTTCTGAGATGTAACGCTGCCTTCTGAGAAGGCGTTTTCCTTCTCACTTCCCCCCCTCGCTCGCCGCCGGTAACACGGTTGTGCCACCCTTTCCCATCTCCCGTGAGGAGGGGCGACGGCTTCGACGGGATCTCCCTGAGCCTCTACACGAAGAACAGCCGGACCCACGAGGATTGCGGAAGACGATCAAGGGAGAGGAGGCACATGTCTGAATTATTCTCAGATGTCCAAAACATGTTTCGGGGGTGGACAGAGAACCCCCACCTTGACACGTCGATTAGTGGATTGTCAGTTTTCGGTTCTCGAGAGGGCGCCGCGGCCATCATTTTCCAGGCTTGTTCCCACCAGGCTTGGACCCGAGGTCGTTTTCATCAAACCACGTTTTACTAAGGGGGGCTCTGTCCATCCCCGAACTAATGGAGAGGAGCCACATTGCTAAATAATGTTTAAAACATGATCAAAGTAGGATCCTAGAATGCTCTAAGGCATGTTTAAAACATGGTTCGAACACGTTTAAAGCATGTAGAAGGCATTTGGACCGTGACTGTTTCGTATTCATTGTTTGCCGATCGGCGCGGGCCTTCGCCCCCCCCCCCTCTGGAGTGGATCTTGGAGTTTTAGGGGCCAGTTTCAGGCTGGTGGAGCCTCTCCCCCAGAGGACGCGCTGCTGCAGACAGGCGCATTAAGCAGAAGTCCGGAGCCAGACCCCCCACTCCCCCCCTTTCCGCCCAATGTCGAAACGCCGAGTAAGAAAACGCCCACAATGCATTGACAGTGAGCGGCTTGAATAAGGAACACTTGCTTTCAAAAAAGGGGCTCGGTCGTTCCTTAGGCTTGCATGCGTTCTTAATCGTTCTTTATGCGCTATGTATTATGTATCGTGCCTGACGCGTTATTCCTTGGAAAGAAGGGGCTTCGTTCCTTATTTATCGTTCCTTAGGTCAGGCCGATGCTTTTATAGTTCAATGATAGAACTCGGTCGGGCATGTCCCCCTACAGAGGGATTTTGGACGAAAAATAAGAAATAGCCAAACATATTCCGAAATAAGCGAAAACATTCACAACCATCGCCCCCAAATTATGTTATGACTTTTTTTGAGTAGTCCTCGTGTAGAGGGACAGTCCCGACTCAATGAGAGAACGGTCAGAGTGTCCACTGTCATGGCGTCCACGGCGCGAGGACACGGTCTGGGCCGGCAGGATCGAGGCCGATGCGCTGGCCTCGCGGTCGGACGCCGACGGCCCGGAGGACCGGGCGCCGAGCGCGGGAGGCCGCCGGCGATGGTCTAGCATGATGGCCGGCGGCGAGGCTTGCCATCGCCCGGGGGTTGCTAAAGGTGCCCCTGGCTCAAGGTGCCCCCAGCTTTCCGCTCAATCTTGGAGCCCCCTGGGGTCCTCTGGGCCTCTTGAGGGGCACTCTGAAGTCCTTGGGGGCGGCCTCCTTGGAAATCCTGGGGGCACCCTGGGCCAGGAGCACTTCTAGCAACACCCGACGATAGGGGAGCGAAGAATGACAGAAACATCAGAACTGGTAGCCGCCTCCTCCTCCTGCTCCTGCTCCTGCTCCTGTTCCTCCTCCTGTTCCTCCTCCTCCTCCTCCTCCTCCTCCTCCCTCTCATGGACTTCGTCCTGGCACTCCTGACTCGTGACTCCTCCTCCTCCCTCGTCTACCTGTGGTAGCGGCGGTGGAAAGACGGCCCATCAGCAGAAGCGCATGAGCTTCGGTGCTCCGGGCGGGCTCTCGAGGAGATCGGCGCGGGACCCCCCGGGGAGAGCCGGGCGCGGCAGGTTTGCCACAGGGTGTGCGTCCTCGCCCCGTCTCGGGCCCCGAGGGTTAGGTCGGGCATGTCCCCCTACAGGCGGATGCTGGGCGAAAACTTTATTTAGCGTACTCCAAAAATGCACATAACCAGTCAAACATAGTCGAAGTGTCGTTCCCAGACTACTTTTGGGGGGAAGAGGGACAGGCGCGACTTAACCCGAGGGCCATCTCATATCGACCCGGCTCGAGGAGAATGCTCCAGAAACAGGGTCGGGTATAGCCAGGACCCCGGTTAAGGGGAGCCTGTTGGTGATTAGGCCCCGTAGCCCAAAATATGGATTGGAATCACTAAGCCAGGTCTGCCGTAGCTGGTGCTTTTCGGGTGACGGCAGTTCCAGTTGGTGGATTGGGACGGGGGGGGCGTCCCCAGTACAGATCACTAAACCAGGGTCCACTACACCCAGTCCTGCCATCGCGATCGGGGAGCGAAGAATGCCATGGGGGTGGCCGGGGAGGCGTAGAAGATGAAACAACACCATAAACATGAGCATTTGGCGCTCCGCGCGAATGTATTGGATCCTCGCTGGCCCCCCCCCCCCAGCGGCGCCTCTGGCGCCGCCCCTGGCGCGCTCCGTGCGCCAGGGAGGGGGGTCCAGCGCAGATCCAAGAAATCCGCGCGAAGCGCCAAATGTTTATGTTTATGTTTATGGATTCTCTTCTTCTTCTAATCTCGGGCCGGACGAAAGGGGGGGATAGGGAAAGGGGGGGTACGAAATCTGCTGCATGCAGCTGGTTTCAGCCCCACCGAGGGGCCCATTCCTCGACACGTGGCCGCCTTCTGGCGCGGGGAGGCGCCGGGAAAATCAGCTACGTGAGCTGATTCTTGGGCTTGCGCCACACCGCCGACCCCTTGGGTGGGCTCGCGGCGCGTCGCCTTCGCTCATGGTGTCGGAGTCGGTGCCTTTGGGAGCCCGTTATGAAGCATATTTTGTGCCTCGGGCCAAGGGCATCGCCCTGTCGTGTGCCGTGCGTGCCACGATGCGCGCACGGGGGCGACAAAGTTTGAATGCTCTGCGTGCCCCCAGAAAGGAGACGGGAAGCAGCCAGCGTTTTCAGACGGGGGCCATTTGTCGAAAGACCAGAAGAATAATTATGTCAAGCGAAACACCCCAGTGGTGTGCGCGAAGTGCTTCAAAGCGGGACGAGCGCCGCGAAGAGACCCTCCGAAACGCCCGGCGGACCTAAGTGACGGGCACTGCGACAAGGCACGGAAATTGCGAGGCATCTGACTACCGGGGACGGGATGGACAGGGGGACGTGGAGGAGCGAGGACGGGGGGAGGAGCAAAACGCGGCGAGGGTGGAAGGTGAGGTGGTGGAGGGAAGATGACACAGAAAACTGAGGGGCGGGGGAAGACGGGGCGACAGACGAGGGTGAAAAACAGCAGGCAAACACGACGCTAAAGACGAGGGCGGCGACGGAAGGGCGCCATCGTGAAAATCCTCTCGCAGGCCTACGAGAGGCAGTTTGGAGGATTCTGGGGAGTTGTTTTGGGGCCTCTTGGGGTCTCTTTTGGGCTTCTTGGGGGCCCCATGGGGGCCTCTTGGGGCCTCTTGGGGGCCTCTTGGGGCCTCCTGGTTGCCTTTTGGGCCGGAGAGTTAGAAATTTAGGTTCGTGGTCTGCGTCTGGAGCCTGTCTTGGGCCCCTCTTGGGGCCCTCTTGGGCTGTCTTGAGGCCCTCTTGGGCCGTCCTGACGCTCTCTTGAGCCGTCTTGGGGCCCACTTGGGGGCCTCTTCGGTCGTTTTGGGGCCGTCTTGGGGGTCTCCTGCGCAGTCTTGGAGCGTCGGAATTGCAAAAAAAAAAAAATAGAAGGCCAACGACCTCGAAAAAAACAATGACAATCAACGATTTGGGCCTCTTGGAGCCCTCTTGGGGGGCCTCTTGGAAGCCTCTTGGAGCGTCTTGGCGGCATCTTGGGCCGTCTGGAGGCCATCTTGACCGTCTCGGAGCCCTCTTGGTCCGTCTTGGGAGCTTTTTGGGAGCCTCTTGGCTCATTTTCGGCCCCCCCCCCCAGCAGACTCTCTGGAACGGTGGACCCCCCCTCCAAATCGACCGGACCAGGCTCCCGGGGGAGGGGTTTGGGGAGGGGGAAGAATCTCACACGCCGATGATCCCCAAGAGGTTGGCGGATTCTCAAACCATTCCTCTGTTACCCCCCCTTTTCGCATGGCCCGATCATCTTATAGGGCCGTCTGGAGCGGAAGGCCCCACGAAGTGGGACGTCTCCCCGGCCGCCTAGGGCGTTCCGGGTGGCCGGCGCGACCGGCCGAGAGCCCCTCGGGAGCCTTGGCCAGAGATGTCAAGGCAGCCTCGGGTGCGTTGCTTTGTCGTGGTGTGCTGTGGTGCGATATGTGGTGTGTCGTGTTATGGCATGCCGTGCTCGGATGTGCTATGTTAGGTAGTGTGGTGCCACGCTCTGTTCTGTCATATATATATATGTATATGTTGGTGTTGTGCTGTGTTGTGTGCTGGTGTGTGGTGGCACCGCTCTGTCACGTTATGAGTTGTCGGCGAGAGGCGAGACACTCGGGGACACTCGGGGGACCCGGAGATCTGGCGGCCGCGGTATGCAGAGTGGCGCGAGGCGTGATTATTGGGGACACTCGGGGAACCTGGAGGTCTGGCGGCCGCAGTATGCAGAGTGACGCGAGGCGGGCTTCTCGGGGACAATCGAGGGACCTGGGGATCTGGCGGCGGCGGTATGCAAAGTGGCGCGAGGCGGGACTCTCGGGGAGACGCGGGAGGCCTCGGGATCTGGCGGATGAGGTTCGCAGGGTGGACGGGTCGGGAGGCTCTCGTTCTTGAAATCTAACGACCCCAACCTGTCGGTCGCCTGGGGGATCGATGTTCGGGACCCCCCACAGGCGTTGGGTATGGTCACGCGTGGGCCCTAATATGGCCATGTCCACCGCTCCCTGGGGCTCCGAGGACTTCGTTTTCCAGGCGGGCATTGTCAGATGTCCGCCCTAGGCCTCACAAGTGGGGCCCGAGCAGAAGGGGTCGAAGGGTCGCGCCGCACTGCCGACGCCTCGGCGACGCGGCTCGATGTGGAGCTTGATTTTCTCCGCGTCGACGTCGCCGATCTATGCCAACGTCGCCAAAAGCATCGCACATTCAGTAGCGATGCGGCGCGATCCTCCGACCTCATCTTGCTCGGACCCCACATGGGAACCATCTACGCGTCGGACGCTGAACATAAGTATCTGGATGCCCAAAGCGCAATATACTTCGGGCGCCGTCCTGCTTTAGGAGGCGAGTGGACGTCACTGTTCCCTCCTCGTCGGGCGGCGGGCGGCGGGCGGAAGCGAGATCTGGTTCAGCGCCTCGTGTTTCTGCCAATTTCTTATGGCCGACGGGTATCAAGGGAAGAAGAAACACCCATACCTTATAATTGACGTCTACTGAGCGGCCTTCAGCGTTTCCTAAACAGCCCTTTTTGATATGTTCCTTTGTCGGGTGCGTTTACTAAACGGCCTCGTTTGTCGGGGGTGTTATTATGGAGTGCATGGTTTGCCCTCCAGGGCAATCGTCCTCATCATCACTGCCTGCCCCCTCTGCCTGCCAGCCCCTGGAGCGCGCCAGGCCGCGTCGCCTTGCGCCCTCCCCCACCCCTCCTCCTCCTCCTCCTCCTCCTCCTCCTCCTCCTCCTCCTCCTCCTCTCCTCCTCCTCCTCCTCTTTCTCCTCCTCCTCCTCCTCCTCCTCCTCCTCCTCCTCCTCTTCTCCTCCTGCTCCTCCTCTCTTCCTCCTCCTCCTCCTCCTCCTCCTCCTCCTCCCCTCCTCCTCCTTCCTCCTCCTCCTCGTCCCTCCCCTCCTCCTCCTCCTCCTCCTCCTCCTCCTCCTCCTCCTCCTCCTCCTCCTCTTTCCTTCTCCTTCTCCTTCTCCTTCTCCTTTTCATTCTCCTTCTCCTCCTCCCACTCCCCCCTCTTCCTTCACCTCCCCTCCTCCCCCCCTCCTCCTCCTCCTCCTCCTCCTCCTCCTCCTCTCCTCCCTCCTCCTCCATCTCCTCCTCCTCTTCCCTCCTCCTCCTCCTCCTACCCTCCTCCTCCTCCTCCTCCTCCCTCCTCCTCCTCCTCCTCCTCCTCCCCTCCCTCTCCTCCTCCTCCTCTCCTCCTCCTCCCCTCTCCTCCTCCTCCTCCTCCTCCTCCTCCTCCTCCTCCTCCTCCTCCTCCTCCTCCTCCTCCTCCTCCTCCTCCTCCTCCTCCTCCCTCTCTCCTCCTCCTCCTCCTCCTCCTCCTCCTCCTCCTCCTCCTCCTCTCCTCCTCCTCCTTCTCCTCCTCCTCCTCCTCCTCCTCTCCCCCTCCTCCTCCTCCTCCCTCCTCCTCCTCTCCCTCCTCTCCTCCTCCTCCTCCTCCTCCTCCTCCTCTCCTTCCCCCTCCTCCTCCTCCCTCCTCCTCCTCCTCCTCTCCTCCTCCTCCTCTGCTCTTCTCCTCCTCCTCCTCCTCCTCCTCCTTCCTTCTCCTCCTCCTCCTCCTCCTCCTCCTCCTCCTCCTCCTCCTCCTCCTCCTCCTCCTCCTCCTCCTCCTCCCTCCCCGCCTCCCCTCCTCCGCCCCCTCCTCCCCCTCCTCCACTGCCTGCCCCCCCTGCCTCAAGCCACCCTGGAGCGCGCCAGGCCGCGTCGCCCCGCGCCTCCGACCAGCTGGCGGACCTGCGCGGCGGCCCCCTCGACCTGGGGGCTCGGCTCCTCGGGGACCTGCAGGCCTCGCTGCGGAGCCCCCCCGGGGGGCTCGCGGGGCACTCGTGCTCAGGAGGAGGAGGAGGAGGAGGAGGAGGAGAGGAGGAGGAGGAGGGAGGAGGAGGAGTAGGATGAGGAGAAGGATGAGGGAGGAGGAGGAGGAGGAGGAGGAGGAGGAGGAGGGGGGGAGGAGGAGGAGGAGGAGGGGAGGGGGAGGGGGGGGGGGGGGGGGGGGGAGGGGGAAGGGGAGGGGAGGGGGGGGGGAGGGGGAGGGGGAGGGGGGGAGGTGGGGGAGGGGGGGGTGGGGGGGGGAGGGGGGAGGAGGGGGGGGGGACAAGCTAGGTGCGCTCGCGTCATATCTGACGTCCTACCCCTCCCTCCCATCCCTTACCATGGCGCTGATTTTCTCTATCCGCGGACGCGTGTCGTAGCGGACCTGTGGCTCCGCGCGCGCGTGCGTAGTGGGTGGTGGTGCACGTGCGTGCGTGCGTGCGTGTGTGCGTGGTTGTCGTGGTGGTGGTGGTGGTGGTGGTGATGGTGGTGGTGGTGGTGGTGGTGATGGTGGTGGTGGTGGTGCTGGTGGTGGTGGTGGTGGGTACTGGTGCTGGTGCTGGTGGTGGTTGGTGGAGGAGGTGGTGGTGGTGGTGGTGGTGGTGGTGGTGGTGGTGGTGGCGGTGCGGCGCGGTGGTGGCGGGCGGATGGGCGCGCGAGAAAATGGCCCGCGCTGGGGCGAGAAGGCCATCCTGAACGACGGAGGCCAAACACCGATCCGAAAATGAGGCCCACGCTGCAGCGGGAGCACGATTCGGAACGATTCGGGGGAGCAGAAATGATCCCGGCGCCTCAACGAGAGCAGCATCTTGGGAAAAAATTGACGCCGGCGCCTCAGCGAGAGTCGTTTCCCGGGATTTCCCGGGCATCCTGTTTGTAAAAAACAGTACGCGGAGGGTGCGCGGCCATCACCCGGACGCCATCAGGGGAAGAGGGAGAGTATTTTCATATTGAGTAGTTGTGGAGGGGGAGGAGGGGGACGGGGAGGTGGAGGAGGAGGAGGAGGAGGAGACGCAGGAGGAGGAGGAGGAGGAAGAGGAGGAAGAGGAGGAGGAGGAGGAGGAGGAGGAGGAGGAGGAGGAGGAGGATGAGGGGGGGGGACGCACCGACCTCGATCGCCCATTGACCGCCGGAAATATGAAAAAAATATGAGACGCGTGATCCTCAGTTTTTCGGAGCTTTGCGCGGAGTTGTTGGATCGGCACTGGGCCCCTCGGCGGCGCCTCCGGCGCCGCCCCTGGCGCGCGGAGGGAGGTCCAGCGCCGATCCAAATCATTTGGGCAGAGTCCGAGGAGGAGGAGGAGGAGGAGGACGAGTAGGTAGAGGAGGACGAAGACGACGACGTGGACGACGAGGACGAGGAGCCCAGATCCAAGTCATCTGGGGATTCCGGGACGCTCTCAGAGCGTTCCGCAGCGCTTTGGAACAGCCGCGGCGCCCAAGACATCCTCCAGAGCCGCTGCATCTCAGAGATCCCCGGCGTATCCCGGTTTGATGTTGTCTTGGCCACAGTGTTGTTTTGCTGATGGCCTGCCTTTCTCGCCGACCCCCAGACATGTTGCACGTTTTTGTTTGCACGACGCGGGCCCCACGAAGTTTGGACCCCTACTCAGGGACCGGTCTCCCTTGCTGGGCTTATGATGTTCCATCCTAGCCTTGATCGCCAGAAGGACCTTCGAGCACCGGGAAGGTACCGAAACTGGAGGGTCTTCACGCGTCGGGCCCTGGGAGACTCGTCCGACATTGTTTCGACACTGCTTCGACACTGTTTCGACACTCTTCTGGGTGCTCGAAATTATTTTTGGGATGTGGTCCTTAAATGCAATGGGAGCGACATAATGCTGAGCTGCCTTCTGCGGCCCTGGGGCCCGCCGAGGGCCCAGGAACAGGGAGGCCGCACATCTCCACAAGTCTTCTGTCGTGATGTCTTCACGACGCCATGTATCTCGAAGGCGAAATACATAAAATATACATGTTTTTTTGGCGCTCCACGCGATTTTCGGGTGTTGCTAGAAGTACCCCTGGCCCAAGGTACCCCCAGCATTCTCGGGTTGGCCCGAACGGGGCCCAGAGGGCCTCCGGGGCTCCAAAATGAAACGAAAAGCTGGGGGCACCTCGGGCCAGGGGCACCTCTGGCAACACCCGAGATGTATCTCGAAGACGACAAGCTGAATAGACAGTTGGGGCTCCCGGCGTTGTCCTTAGAATTTGGCCTCCATCGAAGGAGGACAAGGTGCATGAACATAATTCGTCGGTGCCCCGCGCGGATTGCTTGGCACTGCGCTGGGGCCCCATTGGCGGCGAGCTTTCGCGCCAGGAAGGGGCCCGGCGCAGATCCAAAGAAATCCGCGCGGCGCGCCAGCAGTTAATGTCTCGAGAGCCTCGAGACGGGGGTCAATGCAAACGGGGGTCAGCCAGGGCTCCAGATCCTGCAGGATCCTGCGAAGATCCCCTCCGGCTGACCCGGGTCAGCGAGCCGCTAGTGGCCGCGAGGCGGCCGCGCACATTGGCTGACCTGGTTTTGCGAAGACCTGCGTTGCAGTTTTTTTTGTTTCCTGCATTGCAGTTTTTTGGTTTCTTGCTGACCAGGGTCTGGATTGACCCGGAACAGAAGATCCCCGAATGTTTGTGCCGTTTTTTCTTCTTCGAGTATCGCCGTTTCCAGGTTTAGGTCGGGCATGTCCCCCTACAGGCGGGCTTTGGGCGAAAAATGGAGTCTGGCCGAGAAATGCCCCAACGTAGTCAAGAGGAGTAGAAACATCGTCCCCAAACTGTTTTGGGATTGTTCTTTGGGGATGCTCCCCCTGTAGACGGACACGCCCGACTGAACCCGAGGGCCACCTCAGATCGACCTGGCGCGAGGAGCATGCTCCAGAAGCAGGGTCGGGTATAGCCAGGACCCCCGTAAAGCCGGGGCCCCATGGGCCCCCCCCGGAGATGCGATGGCGTGATTTTTTCCACGCGGGTTGGCCGGAAGTCTCGACGCGTTCCCCGGGACCGGTCTTTCATCCCGAGCCGTTTTTGGACGGTCCCTGGGCCCAGCGAGGGCCTCATAGAGGCCGAACATTGTTCTCAAGCCTCCGTCTTGATTTTGTCAGTGCGTCGATCGGGGGTCGGGGGAGAGGAGGGGCCCTACACGGGGGGGCGGCGAGGGTGGCCCGACGAGGTACCGCAACGAGCCCCCTGGGGCTCCGGAGGGGCCCGAAAGGGGCACGTAAGGGGGCCGTTTCTGACCCCCCCATTGTTACCAGCCTGGAACATATCTCTATCCCTATGTTCGGCATCGCCTCATCACGATGCCAGTCTCAGGGATTCCCTTGTTTTTTGAGGGCGGATCCTTAAGGTTGTCATCGCCTTTTGGCGTGTCAATCTTAGGGGTAGGGATACTTTCGAGGCTGGTAACATTGACGACCCCCCCCCCGTTCAGCCACGCCCGAGTCGAAGCCCCCCCCCCAGGAGCCCGCGCCTCCTGGGCCTCGCCCTCGGGCGCATGTCGCCCCGCGCCCTCTGGAGCGACGGGGACGAGCAGGCGCCGCCCGTGGCCGAGAGCTCGGTCGCCGGCCCGGCGGAGCGCCGAGGGAGAGGGCCAGCCCGGGCCTCTGGCGTTATGTCGGGCGTGTCCCCCTACAGGGGGATTTTCGGCGAAAAATAAAATTATCATGGCAAAGCAACCTAACAGCGATGTGTAGGAGCATATCTGGAAGCATTCCCCTTAAGATTCAGATGATAATGCTGTTGTAGAATTCTGCTGTTCTCGCAGTCGTAGTCGCATTCGCGATGTCAGTCGCAGTGGCAACGGCAGTCGCAGTCACAGCCTCAGCCTCAGCCTGCCTCAGCCTCAGCATCAGCCTGCCTCAGCCTCAGCCTGCCTCAGCCTCAGCCTCAGCCTGCTTCAACCTCAGCCTCAGTCTGCCTTCAGCCTCGGCCTCAGCCTCAGCCTGCCTCAGCCTCACCCTGCATCAGCCTCAGCCTCAGCCTCAGCCTGCCTCAGCATCAGCCTGCCTCAGCCTCAGCCTCAGCCTGCCTCAGCCTCAGCCTCAGCCTGCTTCAGCCTCAGCCTCAGCCTGCCGTCGGCCTGGGCCTCAGCCTCAGCCTGCCTCAGCCTCAGCCTGCATCAGCCTCAGCCTCAGCATCAGCCTGCCTCGGCAGCCTGCCTCAGCCTCAGCTTCAGCCTCAGCCTGCCTCAGCCTCAGCCTCAGCCTGCTTGTGCCTCAGCCTCAGTCTGCCTGCAGCCTCGGCCTCAGCCTCAGCCTGCCTCAGCCTGAGCCTGCCTCATCCTCAGCATCAGCCTCAGCCTGCCTCAGCATCAGCCTGCCTCAGCCTCAGCCTCAGCCTGCCTCAGCCTCAGCCTCAGCCTCAGCCTCAGCCTGCTTCAGCCTCAGTCTGCCTTCAGCCTCGGCCACAGCCTCAGCCTGCCTCAGCCTCAGCCTGCATCAGCCTCAGCCTCAGCCTCAGCCTGCCTCAGCATCAGCCTGCCTCAGCCTCAGCCTCAGCCTGCCTCAGCCTCAGCCTCAGCCTGCTTCAGCCTCAGCTTCAGTCTGCCTTCAGCCTCGGCCTCAGCCTCAGCCTGCCTCAGCCTCAGCCTGCCTCAGCCTCAGCATCAGCCTGCCTCAGCATTCAAAATGTGGCCCGGGAATGGAGTTCTGGGAACTCGAAGAACACGAAGTGGCCTACAGTTGGCTCCGGGCATTCAAAATCCTGCCCAGGAATGGAGTTCTGGGAACTCGAAGAACACGAAGTGGCCTACAGTTGGCTCCGGGCATTCAAAATCATGCCCAGGAATGGAGTTCTGGGAACTCGAAGACCACGAAGTGGCCTACAGTTGGCTCGGGCATTCAAAATCATGCCCGGGAATGGAGTTCTGGGAACTCGAAGAACACGAAGTGGCCTACAGTTGGCTCCGGGCATTCAAATCATGCCCAGGAGTGGAGTTCTGGGAACTCGAAGAACACGAAGTGGCCTACAGTTGGCTGCGGGCATTCAAAATCATGCCCAGGAATGGAGTTCTGGGAACTCGAAGACCACGAAGTGGCCTACAGTTGGCTCCGGGCATTCAAAATCATGCCCAGGAATTGAGTTCTGGGAACTCGAAGACCACGAAGTGGCCTACAGTTGGCTCCGGGCATTCAAAATCATGCCCGGGAATGGAGTTCTGGGAACTCGAAGAACACGAAGTGGCCTACAGTTGGCTCCGGGCATTCAAAATCATGCCCAGGAATGGAGTTCTGGGAACTCGAAGGCCACGAAGTGGCCTATAGTTGGCTGCGGGCATTCAAAATCATGCCCAGGAATGGAGTTCTGGGAACTCGAAGACCACGAAATGGCCTACAGTTGGCTCGGGGCATTCAAAATCATGCCCGGGAATGGAGTTCTGGGAACTCGAAGACCACGAAGTGTGTTATTGTTGGCTAAAACAGGAGTCCCCGGATTCCCGTGGCACCCGCTCAGCATCTGCCCAGACCCCCGTGGGGAGTCATGATGCTTTCTTTTGACCCTATTAGAAAACCACGTAAAATACACGAAAAATATCCCAAAAGGCCAAACAAAATCCAAAAATTGTCCCCAGACTATTTTTAGATTCTTTTTTGTTTATTGTTGTAAATCACCCTGTGGGGGGACAGGACCGACCTAACTCTGGCGGTGTGCTTCTCGGCCGCGCGCAGGAGGGGGCAGAGCTCCGAGCACCGAACACGTACGGAAACTCGAGGGTTTTCACGTGCCGGGCCCTGGGAGACACTCGCCCGACACCGTTTCGACGCTGTTTCGACACTTTTCCGGGTGCTCGAAACTATTTCTGGGATGTGGTCTTTGAAGTACGACGGGAGCAGCATAACGGGGGGGGGCAGCTTCAGAGGGTCTCAGGTGGTACCATTGAGTCGGGCCTGGTCCCTCTACAGGAGGAATGTTCGAAAATAGTCAAGGAAAAGTCTGGGTGCGATGTCTGGAGCAGTTTCTGGCTATTTTTGATTTGTTGTTGATATTCTTCATTTTTGCTGCCAGAGTCCCTTGGTGAGAGGACATGCCCGATGTAATTCTACCAGTGCCCCCTCCCCCCAAGCTCTCGACTGGCAACAGAAGTCGTCCTTCTCCTCCGCGCCCTTCCCTATCCTCCCCCTCGTCCTCCCAGGGAGTGTATTTCTGTCTTCAGACCCCCTGAGGTGAGTAGGGCTGCTTAGAGGCCAGACCCTTTTCGGTCTTCAGACCCTCTTCAGACCCTCTGAGGTCAGTAGGACCCCTGCTTCTTAGAAGGCGCGGGCCTTATCTATAGATGTAAGGCTAGCGCCTTCTAAGGAGCAGCCTCCTTCTAAGAAGCCCTCCCCCCCTCTCCACCCCCTCGTGCGCACCGCCAAGCTTTCTTTCCTGACCAACCCACGGTCTTCCGGATTGGGGCTCCGTAGCAAATCATGGGGTGTTCTTCATGTATGTGTGTTGCATCGGTTGTTTTTAAGACAGTATTCATCAGCGTGATGTGTTTCATTTGAAGAACATTATTTACTTGTGCACTGGTAAACTATAGAACGCAGAACGTATACATTGAAGTATTGACAGCACATCTAAATCAGTGGACGATTGACAACTACAAATTCAGTTAACATCGTTTTTATTTGAAAATTGCCAAACCCTCTGAATTCTATCTTTAGCGTCGGCTAGGGTCTGGGAGTGGATGAGGTAGTGCCGATTTAGCGTCGGCTAGCGTCGATTAGCGTCGACTTCGCGTCGACGTAGCGCCGATTTGTAAGAGCGGACAAGATGGATGGTGCCACCGAATCTGGGGATCTCGGCGCTGTCCTCAGATTTTTGCCTCCATCGCCGGTCATCAGGCCATGGGACCATCAAACAAATAGACCCTGGAGAACACCTTGCCCCAGGAAAGGGACCAGGCCCCTGGGCCGCGGATTGAGTCGGGCGTGTGGTAGTGCTTGGCATCTCTCGGACGTGTGCATTTTCCCTTCGGCGAGGACCATCGAGGAGCATCCTTGATCATTTGGCGAAAAAGCCACGCACGGAACCGGACAGGAACACAGGGAATGGACGTCCGAGCGATGGCCAGAGTGTGGGTTGACCTAACTGGGGGTTGAAGAAATGGGCCTGGACTACAGGGGCCTTTCAGGGCCCCTTGTGGAGCCAACAGGTGCCCCGAATGGACCATCAAATCAACAAATCATCAAGCAAGTGTCGGGGAAACGTAAGACTCGAGTAAGCTGGAACTCGGGTCTGCCGACGTTTTTTGACGAGCGCGCCCTGGATTTTGACGGTCCAGTTGTCGTGGAATGTTTGCAGCGGGAGGTCGTGCCATATTGGGCCTCATCATTGTTATGATGGCCTCGTCAGTACCCGTACCCGAGGCTTGCGTCTCCCCGAAAATGGGTCATCAAGTAAATGGACCCGGGGAGAACACCTGGCCCCAGGGGAAGGGACCAGGACGTCTTGGGCTGCGGACGGAAGAGTGCTTTCGGCCCCTGTGACCCTTGAGGGCAAAAGGACCCTGGAGTCGGGCGTGTCCCTCGACAGGAGCAATATTCAGAAATAGTCAAAACACAGTCTGGGGACGATTTTTTTATTACTTCTGTTATGTTTTTGCTTTTGTTTTTGTGGTTCGCCCAAGATCTGCCTGTAGGGAGACATGCCCGACCTAAACCGAAGCCTGATAACACAGTGAAGGCGAGGCCTCACAAAGGTCCCCGTCCTTGCACTAGGGTTATGATGCTCCAACCTACTTCAGCCTTGATCACTAGAAACAACTCAAGGGTGTTCACGTGTCGAGCCCTGGGGAGACACTCGCCCGACACGGTTTCGACACTGTGTCGACACCCTTTTGTCACTTTTTTGGGTGCTCGAAACTATTTCTGGGATGTGGTCATTAGATAAGATGGGAGCAACATAACACTAGGGACCATGTTTCTGGGGCGCTTGGTTCCATGCGTCTGCAGGAAATAGCCCCTGCCACTTGTGTTCCTGGCCCTCCTATCTTAGGTCCCCGCCCAGCGGATTAGGAGTCCTTACAGTCAAGACGCTGAAATAAGTAACAATTTGGGTTCGGAAGGGGCTCGATGTTCCTTAGGTTCCTCCAGTGCTGTTCCTCTTGCCCTCCTGGGGCACGGAGGCGCTTACAGGGCCGAGAAGGGGCTTCGTTCCTTATTTAGCGTTCCTTCTTTCAGCGGCCCGACTGTATTCGGTCAATCATTCTTCCCTGACCAACCCAGGCCTCCGAAGATTAGACAGTTGGGGATCTCGGCGTTGTCCTTAGATGTTGGCCTCTATCAAAGGAGAAACAACGGCAGAACCATCATATCTCGACACTCCGCGCGGATCTCTTGGGTCCGCGCGGGGCCCCCTTGCGGCGCCTCTGACGCGGCCCCTGGCGCACTGCGCACCATTTTCTTCACCCTCCATGTAGGTCACCCCCCGTTACCACCCGCCCGATTGAAGAATCGGTTCGGCCTGTGTGAGGGTTCTTCCTTGACGATGTTGTCCGGATGGGTGGGGGCCGTGCACTGGAAAGTCGCGGTCAGGGGCCTGGCCCCGAGGTTTTCCGCCGCCGCATGGCCCCATCGCCCTGCACCACCCCACCGGGGGCCCCGTGGCCACGGCCCAGTCGGGGGCCGCCAAATGACAGGCTGAACACAGACCGCGTGGTGAGTCAGCGGGTGCGTATCCTCCTCCTCCTCCTCCTCCTTCATCTCCCCCTCCTCCTCCTCCATCTCCTCCTCCTCCTCCTCCTCCTCCTCCTCCTCCTCCTCCTCCCTCCTCCTCCTCCCCCCTTGTCCTCTTCATTCCCAACGGATTCGGGTCGTTCTCCGAGGATGTCTCCAGCGGCTCGGGCCCCGAGGATCCCACTACCGTGCAGTGAGCGGGGCGAGGTTTCGGGGCCTCCATCCAGGATGGAGTATTTGTCCTCCTCCGCCTTCTCCTCCTCCTCCTCCTCCTCCTCCTCCTCCTCCTCCCTCCTCCTCCTGTTCCTCCTCCCCAGAAATTACCAGAAGTTAAACCGACTCCCCTCCTCTTCCTCCTCCTCCTCCTCCTCCTCCTCCTCCTCCTCCTCTGTGGAAACGCCCCAGGTTGCAGCGGCCTGCTTCCCTCAAGAGTGAGGGCAAAAGCGATGTCAATGACGCGTCGCCGTGGGGGACCCGCCAGCGTGTTGCTGCTGAAGAGACACCAGGCCTCTAGGTTTACTGAAGGAGTACAGGGTCAGGCTTGAATAAGGAACACTTACTTTTCAAAAGGGGCTCGGTCGTTCCCTTAGTTTGCATGGGTCTCCGCTACCTTTTTGGCGGCGAGCCCACATGGTGTTCCTTCGGACGTCCTAGACTTATTTGGAGGAAAAGGGGCTTCGTTCCTACTGTATCGTTTTTTAGGTCAGGCCGAAGACTGTAACGAGCTGACGGGCTACCCACGGCAGCGTGTCATGAATACGATGTCTCCCTCTCGAGCCTTGTCTCGTGCCAACCTGGAGGAGAGCGCCTCGAGCAAGAACGAGGGCGTCACACGCTGTTGGGCTGCCAGCGGTAGCGTGCCACTGATACTCATACTCCCTCCCGAGTTCGTCCCCAGACCCCCGGCAACATGATTCTTGCTCATATCGTGGGCCCGTGGAGGTCTGGACCCCTTCGCGGGGACCAGCTTCAGATCCTTGGTCGGTTTTCAACAGTCCACGGGCCCGGCAAGGGCCCCAAGAGGCCGAAGATTGCCAAACATCAGGCGATCGCAAACATGGATTAAGGGGGCGTGGATTAGTGACGGGTCCCATCTCCGCCGAGCGAGGCGGCACCGGCCGCATTTGGTTGAGGGCACCTCTCCCGATTCATGCATTTGGCGACCGCGCGCCAAATCCATGGGTCGCTGATCCATGTTTGCGCGCCCACGAAAAACCTTCCCTGGAGACGTTTCACGACGCGAATCGGTCTGGGTCTCGTGCCAACCCGGAGGAGAACGGCGCCATCCGCCTCGACTTGTACGAAACCACTTGGGCGGATTCCACGTCGGACAGCGGGAGGGCGGACCGCTGTCCCGAGCCGTGGCCTTCCGACGCCGTGCCGGCGGCCAGGCTGCTGGTGGCGAACCACGGGTGGAACACGAAGGCCTGGTGGCGCCCACAAGGGGGCGATGTTCGTCCCAAGAGGCCGCAGCCCTCACGACTCCCCGCAAGCGGTGCCCAAGAGGCCTCCAGTAAGATCCATCCAGCAGAGTGCCCCACAACTCGGAGGAGGAAAAGGT